TCACATTTTTAACTGCTGCACACGAGATCTATCCTGCTTTATTGATATCTAAATCCGGCCAATAAAAGGAACAGACATGTCTTTCGTGGGAGGCGTGTGGCGCAGTGGACTAATGCGTTGGTGTTTGGATCAGGGGAGCACAGGTTCAAACCCCACTGCAGTCAGCATGTGGTTGTGTCCAAATTGCTCCTGTGGGGATTGTCCACAGTATTGAGTATGTAAGTCGCTTTGGATAAAAGCGTCTAACAAGTAACATGTAATGTCTTCTTATCAGATGTTTGTTGTTGTTTTTGCAGAAAGCTCCTCCTCCTCCAGTGGAGAATGCAGGAGCAAACGTGACCTCAGTTAGCACCGACATGTTGGCGGACCCTGCTCTCATCATCAAAGAAAGACGGGTCAGTGGATTCATAACACACAGCAGCAGAATGGTGTAACATTACGAAAGAAAAACAATTATGAATGAATTAAACTATGTAGCTCATTATCAAGACAAAAATCTAACATTTTCACTAGTACACATAACAGAATCAGGGCATGACTGCTCAAAATAAACTGTAGGTGTCTTATACTGACAGGGAAATCCATGCTCTGACCGAGCGCAGTCATTCTAGTAACTTTATGCATAACGCTGTGATGTCGGTTATGCTGCCATATGACCCCAGCCTTGATTCTAATCTATTTGCTGGGAGCTGGACAAGAAGATAGATACCACCCAAAAGTGCCTAGACCTTTTGTAGATCGATGATCGATGACTGCGGCGGTTGGTTTGATAAATGTATGAATGATTGTTACACATGCGTGTTGGGCAGCAGTTCACATGAACCATTAAGTCGTGCAGGAACCTCCATCTTATACTTGTTTACCTGTGTGCTGCAGGTGGAGGAGTTGAGAGACAAGGCTCCCGTGATCTCGGACAAACCCCTGACCCCCGCTGAAGTCCTTCAGGTGAGATCACATTGTTGCCCGGTGCTGTGGAATCCACAGAAACCAGTTTGAGATGTTATGCAGCACGGGTTTAATCCTGTTAGTGCTTCCTGGCTTTGATCTTTGTCCCATGGCATGTTAATCTCTCACAATGGGACTGGGCTACTTTTCTGGAAAAACAGCTATTAAGCCCTTTCCTTGACTACATGATGTTTTCCATTGATGACAAGTGGTTAGGAAAAGTCACATGACGTAATTATTAGACCACGGCCAGGGTATCTCAGCAGTCTGAGACACCTTCCATATGACCCTTGGTGACCCCGATTCATATCTGTCTACCTTTGTGACGGCTAACCCTCTCTCACTATCTATCCCATGATGTCACCTAATGGCTGTGAGCTATGAATTAAAGGCAGGGTGATATAAATAGTAAAAAGAAAAGTATGTTTGAATAGGTTTTCAACGGGGAAAAACATGATGTGGTAGTCTAACCAAGCTCTTCTTTTTCTGCAGGCTAAAGCAGCGACAGAGGTATCCCAGAAGAGCAAGATGAGTGCCAACGGTGTATAAAGCGGAGCTGGAGCCTCTGGACTGAAGAGAGGATGGACTGAGCTCTGTGTCCTCGGGGAGGGGGGGGGGGGGAAGAGAGAGGGACCACAGGGTTGTAGTGGTCAGATAAGGGCCATTTGATGGTCTACATTTCGGCAGACCTTTAAACTCCTCCTTTTTAAATATCTTGTTCTGTCTTCAGTCCAGAGGGACTGGGGGATCACTGGCTCCGTTCAGCATTGTGTTTGGTATGTTGATCCTGGGAGTCCTGTTTGCTAGGTGATAGGTCTGCTGCCTCTTCTGCTTCGTCTCAGCAGCTGCTTCTTTATCCCCTCAAACCCTCTGATTTGTGCACTCCGTTCTCTGTCACTCTCCATCAGAGCTGGACAAACCAGCCTGACGTTTCAGAGGACTGGCAGAACAGTAATGGTGTGAATACTTTGACCTAATGTCCTGGAGGTGACGCCCAAACCGCCCACGGCAGAGCCGGGTTAACCGTCTGTTTGATGGTGTCTCCTTACAGTCCAGACACCCTCCTTCTCCTGTAAATTTGTAAATATTCTGTATATTTTTGTCCCTGTCTTATATCGCAGCAGCAGCAGCTTGTATATTTTGCTATGCAAAGTCTACAGTCCCTTGAAAAATGTCAAGTATTTCATTTGTTTTTATTTGGATTCCTTATTCGCTCCTCTTCAGGATATAAGATAAGTAATTTATTTCAGAAATACGTTAATGAACTTTTTAGTTTAGTAGTAGTGGTACCATCTCCAGGAAGCTGGATCATTCTGAGGTGCTGAACCAAATGACACATCTGAACCTGCTTATGAAATAAAAAGCAAAAAGGTTCAAAAAGTCATTGTGTCGTTTCTCCAGCTGCAGATTTGTTCTGGCCCTACATCTGAACAGGGTGTTGTAACGTAGCTGCTTTCTGCTGCAATTAGAACATGAAGATGGTATATTATTCAGAGAAAGGTCACTCCTTAAATCCAGAGGTGACTGAGGTAAGCTGCAGTCTGCCTCCACTGGTAAACCACTGAACAGACTATCTGCAAATTGTGCAGATTTTATTTGCATACACTGTATAGTGTATGTATTGTGTTTTAACACTATGATACTAAGATTTATTTTAAACTGAAAATACTTGATGTTATTCATTAAGACATATTAATATGGGGAATAAGCTTAAATTCTGAAGCCACAAATGAGATTTGTTTTGGTATGGTGGCTCTAAAAGAGATAAATGTAAAGCATTCAGTTTGATTCACCCAAATATCCTACGGCATAATATGACCCTAAAGCTGTAATTGGAAGGTTTACCACATACATGTGTACTGTATGAATACAGTTGAGTGTGTGTTTGACATTGCTGAAGATTTTCCATCCCTCTTTATACATTTGACATTGCTGGAGTAACGTTTTGTCTCCAAACATTCTTCCCCATTACTATTTTATCCATAGGCATATCCGAGAAGTGGATGTCAAAATCAAAGGATATTTTTTAAGCAAATAGTTTGCTAATGAAGATTTATTTTATTGGTTTTACATATGTGCCTAAGGTTAAAGGGCGATTGTTTTTATGTTTGCTCCTTTCATCACAACAGATTTTCTATATTGTATCAACAGTTTTTGGTTTGATCTTCATCGCGCTGTGTTTAAAGCGCCCAGTTGCACCATTTCTCTTAAGTGGAATGTCTCCCCTTCCCCATTGGATCCAATTATCGATCCAAAATAGTCCTTCCCAGTGTTGATACTGATGGAAAAAGCAATCGCATTTGATCAGCTCTGCATTTGTGGTACAAATGGGATAAAATAGAATCTGATTAGTTGCTTTCTCATCTCTTGTTTGGGCTTTGCTGCCATATAAAAAAAAAATCCCAAGACATTCTGAGTAGATGAAACTGATTCATGTTATGAAACAAAAAGGTCGATGCTCTCAAAAACACCTGTCACTGACCTGAGAGCTGTGTCATGTTGATAAGCTGCTCCTTAGATGTGTTTAGTTAATCTGCGAGGAGGTTTTCTGATGTTGGCGACTGGCACCTTCTCTTGCATGATAGAAGGATTGCACAGCATTCAATAATGGGGGTGACTAGACTGGGTTCATGTTCTGCTGTGCCTTTGAACTGAAATGAAAAGGTTTTGTGAATTTTCAGGATGCATTTCTCTGCATCTGCAATATATTCACAGATGAATCCTTAATTGTCTACCTGGTTTCACATCGTTCATTCGTCAGCATCTCGGTGTGCCTGTCTGGTATTTACAACTTCCTGCTGCTATCTCAGATGGTTTGGTTCATCAATGCTACCATGATGTGTCCTCTTGTCTTTAAGGATTGTTTCTTTCAGTTTAAAATGCACTGCTGTCCAGTTAGTTCTTACCCTGTGTTAAATGTGTGCATCAACTTTGCCATTGAAAGTGAGTGTCTGGGTAATGGAAGACAAAATTCACAGAAATAAAAATAATTGAACCCTTTCTAGTCGTATCATATCTTTCTTTGTCGACAGTACTTGGGTTGGGAAATCCCATTAAGGTGTATCTGGATTCTATAATATTTATAATAATACCATATGTCTGATTTATTACATTAAGACGGTATGTTTTCGTATCACAACTTTTCTGAAATGCTATGTTTAAATTATCATATTGGGCATTATTTTATGCTATTTTCAAACATTCCAAGATCCTGATACCTAAAAATTAAAAAGACCTGCGGGAAGATACATTTCACACTCTCCCCAAAAAAAATTGGCGAACATTTGGAGTAATTTAGTCACATTATATGGAAGCTGATAAAACGAAAATGATACATGTCAATAAAAAAACTGCAGCATGTTTTGAAACGATATTCATATCTATAACAGGAAGAAAAAAACTAGAATCAATGAAAAAGTGGTGTGTCCTATTTATTCAGGGGAGTAATACTTTGGGTTGTTGACATTTAAGCTATTGAATATAAATTAAGACTTCAATAAAGTAACTGTTGAATTTAAATTCAATAAAATAAGTCCTAAAATCCAACAAAAATAAGTGTGTCCTACTTGACCAGTGTGGTCATAATGCATGTCATAGATTAGGATCAAATGAGTCACATAAAGTGGAAGCTATTAAAAGGAATTTGATTAATTCATGATTCATAATAATATTTATTTTTCATTTTTATTGTAGAAGGTGGACTAAAGTTGACTAAAAGTAAGTTTGTCCTCCTTTTCCAGTGTAGTAATAATGGTTAATTGGGATCCGAAAAAGTCATATGACATTAGAAACTTAAAGAAATTAGACTTTTCAACAAAATAATGCTGAATTTTCATAAAAAATGAAAGATGAACTAATGCAGTAGTGCATCACAAACATTTAAAACAATTATTGACAGAAAATTCATTTTCCTAGCAATTATTTTCACCTGTTATCAATTCATAAACACAATATATAATTTAGGTTAGGTTTAGACTAACCTAGAATAGATCACCAGATTTTCTTTTCACTTGCCTCTAGAGAGCTTCCATAGAGCTGGGGGGGCGGGGGTAAAAGTGATATTTGGGAAGTGGGCTACAGGATCTAAAGAGAGAAACATCGGTGGACTGACATTACAAGGTCACTTTAATGTTATCTAATATACATCAGGTAACTACTGGCATATTTTATTTTGTATTTCCTCTGATAGTCATGTGAAAACAAATTGTGAAATTTGGAACGGGCGTGTAAAGAGCAACATTTGTCTGCCTGCAGTAAGCCAACGGTCTGAACCGTGAGTGCTATTTTTAGCCTGGCTGCTATGTTGGACCCATAGCTTCATGTTGAACGAAGGGGGTAAAACAGGTGGGACGGCTGAGTGCTGCAAAAACATCATGACTGTTGACTTATTTAAAACTTAAAGAAATGTAATGTAGAGTTAGGTACATTTATGGTCTCCAATGCTTTTCAAACTTTCGCTCAGAAACCAAACATTGTCTTTGCTTGAACTTTAAAGTTGCAATGTTTTGCGGTAATTTTTCCGATTTGGATAAAATGTTTGCTGTGTGTTCAGCGGTCCAGTATAACTAATTTAAAATGTTAAAAAAAACTGCCAATTAATTTGCTCTTCCTCTATTTATGTTTCTTTCCCTGGCACCTGTCTGCAGTGCAACGATGAGGCTGACTCTGTTGTGTCTGTCCCTTTTTTTGGTTCATATTCATTTTTCATTGGCCAAGAAAACCGTAAGTCTTGGTAAGATAAATCTTTTTAAGAAGACCCCCAAAACAAATAACCCAGATACCAAATTCAAGGGTGGAATCCTCACACAGCCGAAACAACCTAATCAACCAAGCAGACCAGGAGGTTACCCTAATCAAGGAGGCTACCCTAATCAAGGAGGCGGCTACCCTAATCAAGGAAGCTACCCTAATCAAGGAGGCTACCCTAATCAAGGTGGTTACCCCCAGCAACCAGGGCGACCAGGGGGTTACCCCAATCAAGGTGGTTACCCTAATCAAGGTGGCTACCCAAATCAAGGAGGCTACCCTAATCAAGGTGGTTACCCCCAGCGACCAGGGGGTTACCCTAATCAAGGGGGTTACCCTAATCAAGGAGGTTTCGCCCAGCAGCCAGGATACCCAGCTGGGAGCTATCCAGCTGGAGGTTACCCAGCACACGGTGGTGGTTATGGCGGTTACGGTGGTCCTCCAGGTGGATACATGAACAGAAACCCAAACAACAAAGTCCTAAGCCCACAATATGGTGGCAGTTTTGGATATGGGGGCTATGGTGGTGGGGGCGGTTCTCCCTTTTCCCACTCAGTTCAGTCAATGGGCATGTATCCCTCTGATAGGTCCAGAGGGTTTGGACGCAGTGCAGTGGTGGCAGCAGCTGGAGGGGCTATGGTGGGGATGGCTCTGGGCTACGGGCTAGGGAGGTTCCCCCGTCCCCCCTTCAACTTCCACAACTCCCAGGAGGAGCAGTACTACAACAACTACATGTACAGGAAATATGGTTCCAAGTCCACTGATACCAACGACTACAGCAGAGACTACAAATACATCCAACCTCCTGAAACCTATGATAGCTACATGGACTCCTGCATGAAGAGAACAGACATTCTGCCTGCGGGGAATCCAAAAACAAACAACAACCCAGCTGCTACCACCTCAACAACAACTACAACTGCTATTGCAACTACCAAGACTACTTCTGTAAATATCACAACTACTGCGGCCCCAGACTCTGGCATTGACAGCAACACAACACAATCTAACAGCACTGCAGGAGAAAGCCCCTTGACCTCTGCACCTTCAACTCTACACCCTCTAAATGAGTCAGGAGCCGATCCTCTGCCTCCAGCTGCACAGGTTCTCAGAAAATCTGTCAGTGATGATAATGATGATGACGATACAGTCAGCATTGTGGAGATCGGTTACCCGGCACTGATTGAGCAGCTGAAGGCCAGGAGGTGTGTAGAGCTGTACATAGCCTACTCTGAAAAGTACTTGAAGAAAAAGGAGAAGCCCAGCACCACAGCCGGTGGGGTGCAGCGACTGGAGATGGGCTTGCAGGGGCTTTTAGCTGTTGTCACCAGTACAACAATGATGCTTCTCAATAGCAACATGCATATGCTGCTCTACTAAGGCCTTCAGTAACAGTTATATTGGTAGAAACTTCAGTTTTCTGGAGTCTAGTAGAGTCTAGCTTGGAAGAGAGTATAGGTAACAGTTTCAGTTCCCATTTGGAAAGATTTGCAAGTATTCTAAAAGTAGAGTATACTCATATTTATTCATTTCAGTTAAGCTTTCCTTTTGAGTACTAAAAAATGTTTCACTGACTGCATTGGTTTCTCCAAATGTGTACCTGCTAACTGTCATCTACTGTAAATAACATAATGACTATGTATAAGTACTTCGTCCAACCCAACTTCAAACTCAACCATCCCTTCAGCGTAGATTTCAGAATGAAATCGGCTGTTTGTTTGTCCAGACTGAAATGATCATGTGTGCTGATATATGTGGAGGATTACGTTTTTGAAAGATGGTCATAATAAATCATACTTATCATGGTACCACCCTAAACTGAGATGGTGAACATGGTAAATATTGTGAGCATGTTTGCAGGCTGACATTTAACTAGAAGCACCACTGTACTTAAATACGGCCTAACAGAGCATGAGCTGCTGTAGACTCAGCCTTGTTTCATTTATTTATGCCACCTGTCCAGTGTCAGTGCCCGAGGGGATTAGTTTGCACCATGGGGCTCGTACTCTGTCATGGTGATCTGCGTGTATAAATAGCTGGAGAGAATGGAGATGTGCTTTAAGTAGGAAACAGTAATTGAGTTAACTCATGAAGTTCTGGTGTTGTTGGAGGAATGTCTGATTAAAGGATTGAATGTGATGAAGAATAAGAATGTAAATGTGATACAGTTTTTGTTTACATTGTAAGTTTAACAGAGTATCTGGTCAATGGTTCACATGGTTGTACATGACATAACACCCTTTATGCCAACATCATTAAGTGGGAAAAAAACAGACACACACACATACACATATAATATTGTGCTTATGTAGCTTCTGATTGCAGAAGTTCTACAAGATCTCTCATTCATTATTTACATATGTTGCAAGAGTAGTAAAACAATATATTCATAACAAAATGTAGTATTACTTTCAGAAAGCCACAAAAATCACAATATACAACTAATTATTTACGACGTATTTGATCTGATGTATCAACTAAAATAAAGTGTTTGTTTTTTACTGTCATGACTGCTTCCTATTTTATAGAAACTGTTGATTTCAGGTTCATATAGTGATACAGTTTTCAAGTTTGTATTGCAGGACTTACAAGGGCCAGCAGGTGGTGTCATCAACTGTATTCAATAAAGGAAGAAATGCACTGAGCTCCCTGTTCTGGCTATTTGTGTCATCTAGTTAAACATAAACCTTTTTTTTTTTAACCCAAAGGATTTGGCATTAATGTAAAACATTTGAAATCTTTGAACCCCTATGTTCTTGGGCATTTTTTACATTAGAAAAAAAAAGAAAGGAAACTTGAATATTTAATGCAAGGAAATGATCATTTCTGGCTCAAAAAATAATTTCGATTAACGTCCATTAAAGAGATGTATTGTGAATTCTAGGGGGGAACAGTACAACTCAACAATAGATATCCCCATGAAACTTACACAGTTGATTACTTATATTAGGATAATGTAGTTTTTTTTTTAATCATCATGGATACAATTATTATTTTTTATAAATAAACAAAATAATTAGTTTCCTGAAATTTGGTGAATTTAGAAGAAATGTGAGAACGCAAATATACCAAGTGTAGTCAAATAAACACCCTCAGATGTATTTTTGAATATTTTCCATCCAGTAGTTTGAAAGAAGACATGTTAAGGAAGCAAAATCCCCAAATGGACCAGTGTATGAAAAACACGGTGTTTTTACCTGTAGTGTTTGCCTCCACGTGTATGTCCGTTGTATTTACTTAGGCATGGGGATTTTCCTCTGGGTTGAAGGATGCTGGGAAATGTGTCAAATGAAGCCCCGCCCCTAGCGACCCTCTTGTCTTACGTCATATGAAATCATCCAGTATCCTAGAGACGTTTCAGGTCCATCAACACTTCGCTGCTGGGCACGACCTGCGGGACTCTGAGGCTGAACAACACGCAGAAAAACAGAAAAACTGTCACCAGTCCGGGTAAGACGAGTCCTTTATTTAAAGTAACCGCACACTATCCATTTAACGCTGCTTTTGGGATTGAAAGGCACCTTGTATTTACCTCATGCGACTGTAATAAAACCGTAGCTCAACCCAGTGTGTTTATCTTAATAGCTCTACATTTGCGACGCCATGTTTTAACGGGATAAATGCAGTCGCAGTAGGCAGGCCACATTAACATGAGTGCTCAGTCAACACAAGGTCAGTAGTATACTCTGTCTAGGTCTAGAGTAGGCTATGTAATGTGTTTTATAAATAATAAGACCCGTGCCTGGTTGGTTTCGTTTAGAGCTGTCTTTTTGTTGACGTTTCCGCAGCATATTGCTTATTGTGGCATCACTAGGCAACCTTCCCCCCATCTGTTATTGTGTCCTGCTGCTGCCACACCTGTTCCTAGCCATACTGACTGGTTAGATTGAGGGAGTATTACTATACTGAAATAACCAAATATATTATGTTTGTAAAATGTTTAGTCTTGAAAAAATGTGTAAAGTAACCAAACCTGTCGGATTAATGAAGTGAAGTAAAACACTACAATAGCCATTATATAGTGTGTATGTACTGTCAACGGGGCGAGGGGGTGAATTAATTCGCGGGAATATCTCCGCAATGGAGTGAGTTTAAGTTTCACTTTCGATTGCATGATATAGCCCAGCACAACACCTTCGTCAAACATGTTGCCACTTGTTTGTACCATTTTCTGGCGATTTGTAATCTGTTCTAGATAAACTATGTGTTTTTTAGGATTTCAAGAAGCATATAGAACAAACAATGGATGTATTTTATGAACATTTATCCATGCTGAAAATAGATTTAGATGTTCTAGTGAGATAGAGATTATTATCTAATATATGCATCCGATGAAGCATTGCATAAAGTCTGTTGATGATCAGAGGCTGTTGGGGCTGCATAAACGTTTTTTTATTTTTGTTTTGTAGGCAGACCATGCAGGCCTCAGAGAGTTAAACTTGGGCCTGCAACCATAGTTTTACTGTATTTTGTTTTGAAAATCCACAGCGGAGGTTTGTGTCAAATCAAATCAGTTTTTATTTATATTGCACATTTTAAAACGATTTTTGGTCGAGCCAAAGTGCTGTACATGCAAATAATAAATAACACATTACTACAATCGCAAACAGAAGACAATAAATTACAACAGCAACTATAAAAATCAAACACAGGGAAATGTCATGAGTCGTGCTCCGCACTGACTAGAAGGCCAGGGAGAAGAAGTGAGTTTTTAGTGTTGATTTAAAAACCCCTAGGGTCTGGGCCGACCTCACATGTGCGGCTTTCACACCAGCGCTTTTCCCTTTCTAGCTCCTAGCTAGAGCTTTTCTGGTTCAGCTCCGGTTTCCCTTTTCAGCTCCCGCTCTGTTCACACCGCCCAGCTGCCGCTGCTGCGTCATGACGTCACCGTTTACATCGCTGATTTTCTCCCCAACGGAGCTCACAACAACAACGGGGGGGGACTGCGTCGGGTCGATGATCGTGTTGCTTTTAATCATACGAAGCCAGATTAAATTAAATAACGACTTCTCCAACCTTATACTTTTCTCCAGAGTGCCGTGGTTCATTGTTTATTAATGTGTTTCAGCGGCATTTACCGACCGCTGCAGTGCTGGCTGCTCTTCCACGGGAGTTTATTCTCCCGTTAGCTCCGGGTTAGCTCACACGGCTCTAAAGTATTGACTGTCTGACTGTCACACAAGCAGCTGATACATATCCCCAGTTCCCCTTAAGTGAATGTGTGTTAGTCTGAATTGACGCTGTTTGGCATCACAACGCTGTTATGAAAGTTTCTCTGGTATAACATGGGTGATGTTAGCATAGCAACCGAAGCTAAACTGACTACTTGCTAAGCCGTTTTCTACAGGCACATTTTACCGGCGTATTTTTCATTATGATTCTACTTGTGATAGTCGGACATGACAACCTGTGCAGCCCATGTATTGATTCCATCCGATAGCTGCTATAATAACAAACAAAACGTCTGCCTGCTCTCCACAATGATCAATAACAGCGAACGGATGGTCAAAGTAAGGTACATATTTCCTGCACGCCTCGACGTAAGAGAGACGTAAGCGACGCCGCGTCATAGCTCCGAAGCTCTTGCCTCTAGACCGACAATTTTTTGGAGCTGGAAGTGAACCGCATTCCGGAGCTATGACGTGGCGCCGCTGCGGTGTGAACAGGAAAAACCGGCGCTTTTCCAGCTCCGGCTCGGAGCTGGAGCTGGAAAAGCGCCGGTGTGAAAGGGGCAATGGAGGGGCAGAGTGTTCCAGAGCCTAGGGCCAGCTGCTGCGAAGGCTCGGTGCCCTCGGGTTTTGAGCCTGGTCTTGGGCACTACCAGCAGCAGCTGGTCAGCCGACCTTAATGCTCTGGCTGGGGTGTAGCGATGGAGGAGTTCGGCTATATAGGCAGGAGCCAGCCCATTTAGTGCTTTAAAAACAAATAAAAGGAGTTTAAAATCAATTCGGAACCTAATTGGAAGCCAGTGCAATGAGGCCAGAATTGGGGTGATGTGGTGATGCTTTTTGGGGCCAGTGAGAAGACGTGCAGCTGCATTCTGCACTAGCTGCAGTCGTCTAATTGACGCCTGGTCCATACCCACGTATAGAGCGTTGCAATAATCCAACCTTGTGGTTACAAAGGCGTTAATAACCCTTTCTAGGTCTTTAAAAGATAAAAACGACTTGGTCTTGGCTAGGGATGTCCCGATCACCTTTTTTTGCTCCCGATCCGATTCCGATCATTTGATTTTGACAATCTGCCGATACCGATTTTTCCCGATCCGATCTTTATGCAATGCATTAAGAGGAAAAAAAAGGTAACAGATAACGGCTGGTCATCCAACGCGATGAATTCAGCTATCTTGGCTGTTCTGGGGTAGTTTCTCTTTCCTTTTAAAAGTCTCTGAAAGTGTCGGTTGTTTCAGTGCCGTTACCTGAGTGGCCGCTGTGTACTCGTCGTGTTGTTGTTGGTGGTGTTTGTATTAGATTGGTCATGTTGAACGTAGCTCTGTTCTTTCCACCACGCGGAACCTCCGCCTTGCAAACATTGCATCTGGCTGTTACACTGCCTTCGCTTTCAATTTTATAATACTTCCAAACTCCTGACATTTTCTCTGTCCCGACTCCCGAGTCACCAGCTGAACGTAGCCTCTTGTTAGCTTACTGCTACTATTAGACACTGCGCCCACTCTGTTGCCAGATTTGAGAGAAATAAGCAACCAGGTCTATGAAAACACGCCCAAAAGAAGCAACACATACATGATGTTGTGTAATTTTAACCCAAAACTAAGGCCTCAGGATGACTTTAAGACGTGAACATGGTCATTTTTGTTTTGTAACATTAAATAAAATGTATAAAAATATTTTATATAAAAAAAAAAAATTCCGATCCCCGATTTTTTTCTCCCGATCCCCGATCACGTGAAAATCACGTGATCGGCTCCGATCCCCGATCACGTGATCGGATCGGGACATCCCTAGTCTTGGCCAATAGTCGTATTTAAAAAAAGCAGGTTTTGACTACGCTGCTTATCAAATTTAAATTTTGAAGGTCACTCCAAGGTTCATGACAGAGGGGAGGATGTTTTTATTGAGGGAGCCCAGAATATCAACCGGAGAGGCTGGAGGTTGGGGTCCAAAAAAGATGACCTTGGTCTTGCTCTCGTTGAGGTTGAGGACATTTTGGCTCAGCCAGGATTTTATCTCTATCAAGCAGTCCATCAATAGCTGTAATGAGTTGACATTAGAATTGAGAGGCAGATAGATCTGTACATCATCGGCGTAACAGTGGAAGGGGATGTTGTATTTTGTGAGAATTGAACCTAGGGGCAGTATGTACAGTAGAAAAAGGATGGGGCCCAGAATAGAGCCTTGGGGAACCCCACAGGTAAGAGGGGCTTTGGCAGAGGAGAAGGCTCCTAGCTGCACTGAGAAGCTGCGGTCTGTCAGGTAGGACCTGAACCATGCAAGGGCAGAGCCTGTGATGCCTGCGGACTGTTCGAGCCGCGACAACAGGATGCTATGGTCCACAGTGTCGAAGGCAGCTGTCAGGTCTAACAGCACCTGGACAGCTGGGCTACCTGAGTCGGCGGCGAGGAGCAGATAATTAAAAACTCTTAAAAGGGCTGTTTCAGTACTGTGCATGGGTTTGAAGCCAGACTGAAACTTTTCATGAATGCCATGCGTGGTTAAAAAAGACTGCAGCTGAGCATAGACTACTCGCTCCAGGACTTTAGATAAAAAAGGTAGCTGGGAGATGGGCCTAAAATTTGCGAGAATGGAAGGGTCGAGATTTTTCTTTTTAAGTAGTGGCTGCACCACGGCATGTTTGAAGGCAGCTGGGACACATCCTGAGCTAAGAGAGGTGTTTATAAGTAATAAAATAGTTGCTCCAACTGAATCGAAAACATCTCTGAGAAGGCGAGAGGGAATGCTGTCTGAGGTGCAGTTTGTCGGCCGCAGGTGCTTGACTACATCCAAGAGAGAAGAGAGGGATACAGGCTCAAAGTGGTCGAGGACAGCAGGGCACAGAAAAGGAGCAGAATCTGGGGTAGCACTAGTAAGAGCAGATACTTTTTCGATAACAAATGTAAGAAACTTATCACAGAGAGTTGGTGATGGCACAATTGAAGAAACATCACAGGGATTAATGATAGAATTGAGGACATTAAAAATAACCTGAGGTTTATGGCTGTTTTTGGACATTAACAGAGAAATGTGCTCTGTTTTGGCTGCTTTGACTGCCGTCTGGTAGTCAGAAAGGCAAGCACGAAGGATTTCTAGGGAGACATGGAGTTTATCCTTTTTCCATTTTCTCTCTGCACGTCTGCAAGCGCGTCTGAGAGCACGAGTACAGTCATTGAGCCACGGCTCTGAGAGAACTTTGGTGCGTCTATGCGTAAAAGGAGCAACAGAATCCAATATTAGTGTACATGTCGAGTCAAACATGGAGATCAGCTCATCCGCACTAAGAGCACAGTTCACCTCTAATTTACAGATCAGGGAAACATTAAAAACATCAGAAAACTGTGAGGCACTGTGTCGTACTACATGCGGTGTATTTTGCATTTCTCTCAGTAGCCAACGATCTGTGAGTTTGTTGGCTCGGACATAAACTCCGTAATAAATGTAGTCTACATTTCATAAGAGGTGTAAAACCTGTGAGCATTTTAAATCGCATTTGAACTAAATGCTTATATAATCTGTAGTTGTATTTGTATTGTTGATTTAATGTGTGAACGAGGCGATATAGAGAAGGTTAAGCTGTCATTATTAGGCTGTAATTTGTTATATACTGTTGGAATGGTAAGCAGGCCTATTGTTCTGGGATATTTGTGGAGTTAGGTGGTCCGTGAGTGTTTTTTTATTGGTTCCAACGGCTCCGTGTGGTAGCCTCTATACGATAATTTTGTGATAATGATGACGCCTCCCCCCACCTCTGCTGCTCACCCCCGCAAAAGTAAACTGCACACTGAATTCAGATTATTTATCTTTATCTCGATATGGACATAAACGCGAGTGAAGTCTAATCTGACAGGACGGAGACACGCAGCTCCTCCCGCGGGAGTCACACACTTCAAGTCAGATCATCACCCTTAGCTATTTTAATTAGCCTACCTCTCAAACTACCTAAACTAGTTATAAATGTTTATTTTTTACTGTCGGCCGGGTCACTCATTACTGGATCAGCTGCTGCATGAGACAGACACTGACGCTGTCAGAAGAGAGGAAAAAGAGAGGACAGGCTCCGTGTATTTTATTATTATATATAGTCGTTATTCATTTGTTTTAAAGCTTAATAAATAACAAAGAAGACCTTTGACCGGCACTTTTATAATTTTGTCCGGAAGATTTAAACTTTTACACACGTTGACCGGCGAAAAACTCTGCCCGGTTCCCTCGGCCCCCACCACGGTGAATAAACAGAAGCGCAACCATGACAACCATGCTAATTCGCTGCTTTTTGTGGAGGAAGTTACAGCGCCACGTACAGGCTCGGCATATGTACTGCAGCTTTTTCCAGCGGTTGGAGCTAAACGGAGCTGTCTCGTGTGAACAGACACTATCCGGTGTATATTGCGTGTGGACGGAAGCTTTTTTGCGATTGCGTTAATCCTATGCGTTTTGCCGTATGCGTTCCCGTGGGGCACCAGCCTTATGCTTACATTGACCACTGGAAACTGCAAAAGGCATTTATAAAAGCAATGCTTTTGTTTGAAACAGTACAATTATAATCAAGGAGTGAGTGGATTGACAACAGATTACACTATGACCTTAACTGTCAGATAAAACAAGGAATTTAAAGACATCATGATGGGCTTTGAGAAGTTCTTTTCTCTTTGATAAAAAAATCCTGACTAATCGACAATACAATTGTTGTAGCCCTGAATTAAAGTCTGTATCATAATATTTGTAATTTTATATATGATCATATTGATTTATTGCGATAGATACAAGAGATATTGACAACAACAATGTCAATCATAATCATATTATAAAACCAGAAAATTCCAAAATTGTATTTCTTCATTTTCCCTTCTCTCCCTGATCCTCTCTACAGGGCGAAGATGAAGCTGCATCTATTATCTCTGCTGTGTCTGTCCCTTCTTTTGTTTAATTTATCAATGGCCAAGAGAGGAGGCAGCTTTGGGAAAAGCTCCGGCTTCGGCTCAAAAAGGAAGGGCTCCACACCTAACCGAGGCAACACCAACAAAAATAATCAGGGCTCCAACTCTCAGGCAGGATACCCCAGACAGCCTGGAAAAACCAATCAGGGCGGTTACAATCCGCAGTCAGGCAGACCAGGGTATCCAGGTAGTTACCCCCGGCAGCCGGCTGGAGGCTACCAGAACCAAGCAGGGGGCTCCTATGGAGGAGGATACATGAACAGAAACCCAAACAACAAAGTCCTGAGCCCACAATATGGTGGCAGTTTTGGACACGGGGGCTATGGAGCTCGGGGCGGCTCTCCCTTTTCCCACTCAGTTCAGTCAATGGGCATGTATCCCTCTGATAGGTCCAGAGGGTTTGGACGCAGTGCAGTGATGGGAGTAGCTGGAGGGGCTATGATGGGGATGGCTCTGGGTTACGGGCTAGGGAGGTTCCCCCGTCCCCCCTACAACTTCCACAACTCCCAGGAGGAGCAGCACTACAACGACTACATGTACAGGAAATACGGTTCCAAGTCCACTGATACCAACGACTACAGCAGAGACTACAAATACATCCAACCTCCTGAAACCTATGATAGCTACATGGACTCCTGCATGAAGAGAACAGACATTCTGCCTGCGGGGAATCCAAAAACAAACAACAACCCAGTTGCTACCACCTCAACCCCCGCCCCTGGAACAGGAAGTAACACAACGGAGACGAACAACACTGCAGCGGATAACTCCTCAACCCCTGCACCTTCTGCTCCACGCCCTCTGAACCAGCCTGAAGCTGATCCTGTGCCCTCAGCATCACAGGGTCCCAACAGTGATGATGATGACGAGGATACAGTCAGCATTGTTGAGATTGGATACCCCGCCCTGATGGAGCAGATGCAGGCCAGGAAATGCTTGGAGCTGTACTTGATCATCTCTGAAAAGTACATAAAGAAACAGATGAGTGGTGTTCAGGGACTAGTGGGCTCGCGAGGGCTTTTAGCTGCGGTCACTAGCGCCACACTAATGCTTCTGAATACCAGCATGCTAATGCTGCTGCACTGAGGCGTTAGTTAGCACTGACGAGAATGTTAAGTGGAGTCCAGGAAACGATAAGGGAGAAAGAAACCTGCTTCCTTTTATAGGACTTCCTTTTCTTTTGTGGATTTCTACTTTTACCTTTCCTTAATATTCCGGCATTAGATCCTCATGCATGTGCTTGACCACACAGCTGGCACACAGTTGGGATGGCCTGATCTCAGAGATTGGGATCTGGGCTGAGTAAGGCTTTTTTTGATTGTATTGAGCTAGTGAGCATGATCCAATCCTCCTTTTTTCTGCAGCTCTCACACAGCTTCTAACGTGCAGCTTTCAGATAACAGAGGATTTGTTTTTTAATTCTTTGTTATTTCATAAAAAAAAAAAAAAAACACTTAGTCATAGCTTCGGATGCAGGGACTGATTTTCTTAATGCTTTGCAAAGCAATTCAATTTTCAGTTGTTTAAAACTAAATCTGTGTGTACCTGGAGTGTGCACTGTGCAGCTTTTTAGAAGCTCAATATTGAATGCACTTGGCTGAGGCATCCGTTGCACACAGCATTGCATCTTTGAAATAGGATTCAAGGAAAGGAGAGGAAAAGGTTAGACATGAAAGCCAGAGAGAAACTAATTGCACTTCAGTGAGTGGCCATTAACGCTACTCCAAGCTTTTGATGGTAGAGAAGTCTGGCCCGTTAATGTCCATTTATATTCTACTGAACATGAGATAAGAGACAGAGAGCAGAGAACGCTCTCTACCTATAAAGGTTACTCATCCTTCCATGTTTGTGATGTGATTTTCTGAAACCTAGTCCTTGTAGATGTTTTTCTTTTGTCTCGGAGGAAAAAGCACAAGAGAGGGTTAGGGTTAGTAGGTTAGTTTGTACCTGATGCTGCATTGGAAATATGGACATGCGCTTTTTCAGTGTGATATTATTATATGAATTGAAGGGATATTGATGTTGGAGGACTGTGTGATTCAAGGAAAGTATCAATTTATACTGGACGTTAACTTATTTATTGTTCTACCTTTACACATTTCTGTGCTTTAGAGAGGTTTTACACTGAGCATGGCTGAGGATTTGTAATGTATCATATCTACATTACTACTGTAGTTTAAAACATGAATGGACTTTTATCATATAAGTTCCAGTGAAATACAGAAACTCACCTCAAACACTGATTATAATATCTCTCTGTATTTGTTTTCTTCGGATGAACCGACTCTAAGCACAGACAATAGTATGCATGATGTTCTCTTACACTTCTTAAATTACTTACTTTGGAATCAATGCAAAACTGCTTTTCTTTCATATTTATGTATGTTGTCTTTACCCTTTTCCATGTGTCGGGTCTGGAGATTGAACTGTGTGTTGTATATTTTTGTACACACTTCTCCTTCCTCTCTCTGATCCAATGTGTTGCCTTCTTCTTGTGCCCTGGGTGGGATGTGATTGCAGAAGTGCTCTTAAAGTTGAACCCCTCTGATGTAACCCTGAGCTGAATTGATCTGCAAATGTTATTTAATGTCCTCTCCATCAGATTAGTTTATTGTTGCTAAACCTGCATACGACTTATACAATACTTTTGTTTTAAAAAAATATATAAAAGCGGATTACATAAAAAAAAAATGAAAGGTACTCCGGAGTTTTAAATGCATCAGACAGTTTGAATTAAAAATGTCCATACCATATAAAAAAAATAAGCTGTTTGAGCTAAATAAAAACATTGCCACCTTCTTGTTGGTATAAAATCCTCTCCGCTAATTCAGCCTTCACTCTTGATTTCTCCATTTATGACTTTGTCCATTGGTGGAAGAAATATTTAAATGAAATATGTATTGTAGTACCACCACACTGTAAATACTCCACCTTAAGTGAAAGTGCTGAATTTAAAACCTTAGGAAAGTAAAGATATGTGTCTTTTTATTAGCAAAATGTCCCTGAAGTGTCAAAAGTAAAATAACTTATCAATTACAAAATTAATTATTAAAGTCTTAGTTAAATGTTACGTTAAGTTAGAGCTGCTAATATTAATCTATAAGTTGTTCATTATTACATTTCTTTACTGTTTTGACAAATATTCCTCTGATTTAAGCTTCTTAAATGTGAATAGTTTCTAGTTTGTTCTTTCCTCTATGACAGTGAACTGAATTTCTTTGAATTCTGGATAAAACCAGAGTAAGGACAAACCAAGTAAGCTAGCGTAAAATGGAGATGCTCAAGTAAGGAACAAGCCCTTATAGTGTTTTATTTGAGTGAATGTATTTAGTTACATATCAGCACCGAACCAGGTAACTCACATTTCAGAGACAATCACTGAGCCAATAGCCAAAGCTTGTTTGGACTGTAGAACCATATCATGAAAAACCCCAAGGCGTACCCTTTAATGTGTTTTTATATGTACCCTATAATTGTGTCTGGCTTTGAATGTAGTTGAAAATGCACATGTAACGTATTTAAAGCAAAGTATGCCTTTTACTGTGAGGGATCACATTTAATGTGCTGCTGGAACTTTACTGAATACTGAGGGTCGACTCACATCTCTTGCTTGTCAATAAACCCTATAAACCTACTCATGAACATGTTTGGATCATTGTTTTTCCACTGAAAAAGGCTGTAGTGATGTTGAAAATAAGCATTATATTGAATGCTTTTATGGGAATCTGTTGGGAAAATACTGAATGTGCTCTTCTAATATCAGAGTAGCACATGATAACAAAGGCCCTACGTAGCTGTGTACGTAACAGGATGTACAATTACCTAGAAGAGCGTCAGGACACACTGTTTTAGGGATATGATAGCTATGTGACAACGATTAACATGATGATTCAGCCTCTGTATAGAAATATGACTGTCATGTTTATTTCTTACGCAGGCCTCAGCTAATCTGAACTAAACATTGAATACTGCTTTGAACCGGTATTCCTCCATCCTGTGACTGTGACACCCTCTCTTGTATAAGCATGTCAAGGACACTGTTCTGGGAACTATTTGTCCCACGCAGCTCTGTGTGTGATGACTACTTCCATTCTTGCAAGGATAATAAATACATATCCTGATATTGAAGACCAAGCCGGTGACGAGTGATATTTTTCCTAACAGAATCAATGTGATGATATAGGTGATCTGATTACAATAGGTAAACCCTGAGAATTTGACAAAACGCAGCAGTTCAACCTGAAGTTAGATTTTCAGGTTTACTGGAAACTAATGATCAGAGTACGAGTGTCAAATGTAGAACTACAATTGATATATATTCACTCTATGGAACTACACGAAGGCTGGGTCAACTCTTTCCTGTGTTTCAGATTTAAGAAAGCATGATTATTGAATGGGAAAGTTCCAGAGAACACTGCTGGATGTTGCATCAGATTTTAAAGGACAGAATAGAAAGCAAACACCAGGTGTGATTTGATCAGCTGAGACTGAAGTCTGCCACCTCAGGGTTTTAATATGTCGATAAAATAACAAGCCTAATGTAATGCTTTAATACACAGTGGACTTTAATGGACTTTAGTTTTACATTTACTGCATCTTTCCTGCTCTAAGGTTCATATTGTTTTCAATTGTGAGTATTATACTAAGTAAACAACTGTTATTTGTAATAAATGTTACTTAAGTAAAATTGAGGTTATTTAAAATATACTACAAGTAGAAATTATATTTTTTCTTTGGGGTTAAGAAACTTGTTATTAAGATAATGTCTGAAATAAGTGCAAGTAAAAAAATAATAAGCTACAAAACATTTGCGAATAATGTTTAAACTGTGGGAACAACATCAGCAACACAACCCCTGAACCACAACAACAAATAAACACAGTTCCTGCTGTAGAAGGCACTGTGCTGCGTGTGCATACAGCTGATATCAATACACTTCCTCATCACAGAAAAGAGACAAAACTCTATAGACAATCAAGCAGAAATAAACAACAATAAATATTCTTTTAACAAGACACCACGGCTGGTGCAACAAGCAATCAAATACATATCTTGTGTGTCCACCTTTCAGCTATAAATGTAGTGTTTTATTCATTATGTGAGTAGCTAGTTGTGTGTGTGGCGGTGTGGTGAAGCTAGGTGTTAGAAGTCGGTTGCTGACAACGCCACCTGGGGGAGTTTCGCCCCCAGGAAATTATAAAAACTAGGTCTAATACTAATAAGGACAATCAGGTTCGTTTTACACCATGGGCAGAGACAGTTTTAAGGGTCAGAATACAGTTTTATTTATAACATACAAAATATCTAAAAACACCACACACAATACATTTGAATAAAATACCCACTTTGGGGAAACGGACAGGGCTGGACTTACCATGGCGGCAGTTAACAAAAAGGGGAGTAAGGGGTCCAAAATAAATCACCCGTGACACTGCACACCACTCAAAACGGACACGTGAAGAAAACCACTGCTACCAGCAGGGAGTCTGCCGCCTCAGGCCCACAGCACCTGTCCGGCACAGGATAAAATGTTATGGTTCTGACAGAAGGTTTTGGTCTAGTTTGCTACTTAGATAGATAGATAGATAGATAGTACTTTATTGATCCCAAATTGGGAAATTGTTGTTACAGCAGCATAAAAGGCATTTACAATAAAACAAAACTACAAAATATACAAGAATAGAAATTAAAATAAAATAAAATAAAATATACATGTTGAAATAGAAAATATACATGCAGATATTATATATATATATATATATATATATATATATATATATATATATATATATATATATATATATATATATATATATATATATATTCAAAATATATGGAATATGGAGTATAAATATTGAACAGATTATAGAGTAAAATGTACAACGTGGTTTAATTTCTAGAGAAACTATGGAGCAGAGAGTTCTCTTCCAGCCAGAGGTGATTTATTGTACAGTATTATTGCAGTGGGCAGGAATGTTTTCCTGTATCTGTCCTTGCGACAGGGGAGCTGCAGCAGTCTGTTGGAGAAGGAGCTCCATTGACTGTCCAGCTGCAGGTGGAGAGGATGGGTGGGGTTATCCATGATGGACAACAGCCTGTTCAGTGTCCTCCTCTCCACCACAGCATCAAAGGGGTCCAGCTTGATGCCGATGACTGACCCAGCTTTCCTGATCAGTTTATTGATCCTGCTGGTGTCACCGTCGTATTTTCCTTAAAATAGAAGCAAAGTTTCAACAAAAATAAAAAACTATATCATACAGAGATGAAAAATACAGTGGAGGAATAATATAAATAATTTGATCCCTTGCAGGTTTTGTAAGTTTGCACCTACAAAGAAATGAACAGTCTATAATTTCAATGGTAGGTTTATTTTAACAGTGAGAGTAAGAATATCAAAAAGAAAATCCAGAAATTGACATTACATGAAAGATCAAAATTGATTTGCATTTAACTGTGGGAAATCAAATCCTCTAGGGGGGTCCGGGGGCACGCCCCCCGGTAAGGGGTTATGCATCAATCTGGTGCATTTTGAGGACAAAATAAAGACACTATCTATGGAAACACCCATATGAAACAGATGCCACATCATGTAGAGTCGACAGACAGTCACCCTGTGTGAGGCAAACCCACATTTGCGCAGCGTTGCGTTCACAATAGCCTACATTAAAAAATTAAAAAATCGCCAGGCCATCGGGAAACCTCCCGGCCCTCCCGATGGCCAGTCCGGGCCTGCCAGCAGCCCTCTACTTGCTACAAACTTAAATATGAAAAGGTTCAACTACGCACACACACATCATTTCGGCTCGCGCAGCACGCTCACAGGCATAGATTGTGCAATCAGGGCCGTATCCAGGATTTCCTAAATACCGAGGTCCAAACATGCTAGGGGGGTTCGGGGGTATAGATTTGGGGGATTTTCATGATCTAGTTAGGTGCTTTTTAAGTCCTGTGGGGGGTCACAAATTGGATAATACATTGATTTCAAACCATGTCAGTGGCAGCATAAATTATTTTTGAAAGTGTAATACATAAGAATCAGTTGATTGTTACTATTAATGATCTGGACATGCAGAAGAGGCTAAAATGATCACACAACATTGTCAACATTCATTTTCCATGTCTCTCTCCTTTCCATAACCTGCACCCTCTCTTCCATCTTCTTGAGTCTCTCTCTCCTGTTCATTACTCTCTCTGTCCTCTACTCTTTCTCTTTGTTCAATCTCTCCCTCGTTGTTCACTTTTTGCTCCTTCTCACTTGTCGCTCCTGCCAGTGAATTAAAAGCAATTCAGCAATTTAGTTCATTTCACTTGTTTGTTTGCATTATTTTTTAAATTGAAATCTGTTTTGTTTGATTCACAAAAGAGAACAAAGATGTAAGCAAATTGTGTTTTATACAATTGTATGTTATTATGACATCATAACTGCAATAGATGTATGTTGTTTGAAAATGATGCCTATTGTCTATAGTGTAAATGAAGACTATTGTTATAGATAAATAGATAGATAGATGGGGTTATTAAGCCTACATTATTTTTGTGTGACTGTCATGGTCATAAGTGTGTGTGTGTGTGTGTGTGTGTGTGTGTGTGTGTGTGTGTGTGTGTGTGTGTGTGTGTGTGTGTGTGTGTGTGTGTGTGTGTGTGTGTGTGTGTGTGTGTGTGTGTGTGTGTGTGTGTGTGGTGTGTGTGTGTGTGTGTGTGTGTGTGTGTGTGTGTGTGTGTGTGTGTGTGTGTGTGTGTGTGTGTGTGCGTGCGTGTGTGTGTGTGTGCGAGATAATATAAGTACACTGGACAAACAAGACACACTGGATTTCAGTGCTTCTTCTACTTATTATGTTTTTTTTTCACAAGGATAATTATTTAAAATAGAAGAAGTGCTTAAATCCCATAAAAAGAGGACTGTCTTACTTGCCTAGTGTAGAAATAAAATGCTGCATTGATTTTGAGTCACTGGGTCACATGACCTGGAAGCTCTTGGCATTCTGTTTAACTTTGTGACAAAGAGACGTCATGGTGTCTTTTTCAAAATAAAATACAACACACAGTTTTGTTCTAATATTCTTTTATTTAAATAACAATAATAAACGTGAAAGCACATTTTACATTTCACATAAAAACTTGAATTAGGTCAAATAAACATATACAAGCAATGTACGGAAAATGTAACCCTCCCAATATTCACAGACTCACAGATTTAAAAAAACAAACTAAAAACACACTTGTTACGTAATATACTGATAAATGGCATTATCATATGAAGTGTATAGCTGCTCTTTATCTCTGTTACTCACATGACTTCTTGAGGTAGTCTTAACCTAACTATACATGTCATTTATACGTGCGCTATCTTTACAGACTCCCTATGGAGAAAACATTTTGATCATCAATGCAATCATCAAAAGTATAAAAAGACTGGACACTTAGAAAGAGAAATGTGAATATGGGAAACATCTGATCGAAAACTATCTGAATATATTCCTACGGGAGGTTTGTTGATCTGCACACCTGCAGGCTGGCGTCACACGGACACGTTGTGGAGGTTAAACTCATTACATTTCTCCTCCTGTCCTTATCGAGGGTCACTGAAGTGTTGGGAAAACAAATTGGCCACATTATTCAAGGGGTTATATTGAAAGGTCACATCCGACTAGTTCTGTTTCCTGTCGGCTGTGGGTTGTTGTTTCAGTCTGTGTGTGTTTGGGCCCCAGCTCTGTCTCTATATGCCGGCTGCCCAGTGTCCTAGCAGCAGGGACATCAGGGAGCCAATCACAACGATGATGCTGTTGTAGATGGGGCCGCTGGAGGCCCCGGCGTAGTACTCCATGTCTCCAGAGCCCTCCGAGTCATAGCCGGGCCGGCGGCCATAGCCGCCCCCACCGTATCTTGTGTTACCATACCCCCCTCCATACCCCCCTCCATACCCTCCACCATATCCTCCTCCATACCCTCCTCCATACCCAGGGCGGCTGAGGGCAGACCCGATCATGGCCCCCCCGATGGCCCCCGCTGCAGCGGCCCCTGCTATTTTCCCTGCACTGGGGCCGCTGCTCTGCACCGGTCTGTAGGCCTGGCCCCCCCCACGGCCCCAGCTCCGGCTTCCACCTCCACCTCGGCCGAACCCACCTCCAAAACCTCCACCCCCCCGCCGGGCCTCACAGCTGGGCAGCAGGGTGGCGAGCAATAGCAGGCAGAGGGCCGCTGAGAGGGGGGGGCGCAGCAGGAGAGACGCCATTTTATAATCTGTAAAGAATAAGACAAAGGAAATTTACTTTGTCAGTTAGTTAGAGGTTATCCTCTGATTCTTGACAGCTCAGCTATTGACACGATGGAAGTATTATTTAGATAATTACTTTAAAGTAGTTATAGTACATCAGAAATGTGTTTCAATACAAGGGTATTTAGACTTTACAAGCAAAAGAAGCACAAAGCTCTTTACCCAGAGATTTAAAAGACAATCCCAGAAAATAAATTAGTATTCAAATGGTGCATAATGTAGATATCATTATTCATTAAGAACACAACAAATATTTATATATATACATACATACGTACTCAAAATATACAAAAAAAAGTGAATTGTCAAAGAAATATTAACAAATGAAACCAAAGAAAGTATGCTAAAAAAAAAATAACGTTTTGAATATTAGGAAGTAAACCAACAACTACAGCCAAGTAAGCTTAACAATATAATATTAGAAATAAAACATGTAAAGTATCAAAAGCTAAATTGCTCCATACTGCAAAATGGCAAATTCAGGAGTATATTATTATTATTATATACAATATCACCATCAGCATTTAAAATGTGCTTGTTTTAGAGGAGATACTTTTAACCAAACGTATACTCTGTTGAGTCTTTAAATAATAATCCTTTTATTTTTTGAAGTTGATCATATATTTTAAAGTATGTAATGAGTAATTATAGCTTTCCTAAGACTGTCTTACACACTGATGAGATGTTCTCGTTGCAGCTTTCGTCCTGCTGAGTGTTATTTTTACGTTAATTTAGAGCAGTACAGATCACAGCTCTTAATCCAGCTTCACATTTTACACAAGCAGCGTCACTGCTGCACACTGTTTAACACTCAGCTGACCCGGGATCAGATTCATAATCCCTAAAAGCCTTTTTATCCGGGTCTACTGGGAAAGAGTCTGGCTCCAGATCTGAGGAGTACACTTAAATATGTGTGAAGAAATCCAGAGACAGCCAACTCAGGCAGCCGTGTACTGCTGATAGTACAAGAATACATATACATACAACACAATATACATTATAAGATATTAATCTTTAGTGTTAAATAAAATAAATTAAGAGTTTTAAGAATATCAGTTCAGTTATAATATATTTCTAGGAAAAGGTGGAAAGTTACTCAGTTAGTATAATTTTGAAGTACTTTCCTGAGTTTCATTTTATGCTACTTTATGCTTCTGGTCCAATACATTTAAGAGGGAAATATTGGAAATAAACCTTTTGACTCCACTACATGTATTCAACAGCTGTAGATACTCGTTACTTCGAGATACAAAATATGCTAATTATTTGAACATATATTTTCAATTTGAAAAATGTGATGCATTATTGTGGATTAAAGTACCAACTGTACATTAAGAAGTTAAAATTGGCCCCACGTTGACCAAATCCAAAACAAAAGTACTGCCTATATATTAATTAATAACAATAATGGTCGAATAATATAATGATAATAATAATAAAAGAACCGAGATAAAGTATTCTGCAAGTACTTTTACCCATTGTAAAGTATGTTTTATTGATAATAGTGGTATGGAGTGCATTTTCCACCAGTGAGCAGCATGACGTAATTTACGGTAAACAAACATGACGTAGTCTAATCTGTGTTCTCTTCGAGCTATTCTTACACTGGGTCACTTAGATTGAGAGTAATCCATTCACTGACCCCCCCCCACCCCCCCTCTACAGCCACTCTGACTCATAGACAAGGTGGATGAAACATTTCATCATGAATCTGAAGCTCTGATGAGGTTACCTGCTAAGTGTTATTGCTTTCCAGAGACCGACCCTAACATGCACAACATAAGACACATTAAATAACAAGAGAACGTCATACATATAATTTAAAATAACCTGGAAGAAATGCCAGTCCTTAAAATAACCCATCAAGTCAAAGTGCTGAATTTAACATCTCACAAACCTACCTAGTGAAGCATTGATAGCTAAATGAAATCAAAGTTTTGAAAGTAAAATACTCATTATGCCTTTTTATGTAGTTGTTGCATCTAAAGTTCTTTAATTTAAAAAAAAAGAATAAACATATTTACAAAAAACAATGTTGTTCCAATTATTGATACATGGTATACAACTGGCTAGATTGGTAGTATAGTACATATAATGATGTTGAGTAAAAAGATCATTGTTTCCCTCTGTTATGTAGTAGAAGTATAAAGAAGCATGAAATGGAAAGACTCAAGTACGATCAAATGTTCAATAGTCCAGTAAATTAACTCAAATGAACAGAAAACATTGTTCAAACCTGATAAACACATTACATAAAAAACAACAAGAATAAACATCTCACCTGTCGAGCGTTTTTTTGTGTCAGAAATGAAGACTCTTCTAACAGTGTTTCGAAGCTTCTGACAGTGTCTCAGGGTCGATGTGCGATCCTCCAGACTACAAGCTCCATCAGGTGCAGAGGATCACCTGCTGATTGGCTGCTGAGCCACTGACAGCACACATAAATACCTGTGTGTGCGTGCATGCGTACATTCAAGTGTTTATTTTCGTCACAATGATTTAACCAGACCACTTAACGAACTCTCCCGAAGCTTCGACCAATGTTGTCTGTCCATTTGAAATGATACCAGATTTAGACACTATATAACGTGCTGGGCTTTTCCCCCTGTTGGAGTCGGGAGGCCTGGTAATTTATTCCGGCAATTACTCAGACCTATTAATTGACCTAACAGAAGCTATTGAGTCTAGCTCGGCTCAGATCCACCAAGGTCAGCAAGATCTCACCTCTATTAACTCCTGAAGAACCAGGTTGAATTAACTGCTGTTTCAATTCAGACAACACGCTAAATCTGTTTAAGCAATCCCGAAGGATTTTGGTATCAGTAATGAGATGTGGCCCTACCTAAGTGTGAGTGTGGCAGTTGTGCAATCTTACCTTTTAAGCAGGAGAGGAGAGCGCAGATTTCTCCCAATCCAAAAAGGTAGGATGATTTTATTTGAAGAAAATGGTCCACACTTTTACAGGGGTTTTACCTTCTTTCGTTACAATATGACAATCATACTGTGGTCAACTACTAATATGAAACCTCAATTCACAGTTTTACATTTCTTATTTTATTTTGTCACTCTCTCTTCAACTGTCCCTCTTCTGTTGTATTAAAAACCTCTTCCGGTGGAATTCAGAGGAAAATCCTCATGGATTACCGGGTGTGAAATCAAATACATTAGAATCTCTTCAACTGTCCCTCTTCAGTTGTGACATTTAAATTCTAACTTCAACTGGCCCACTTCAGTTGTGGCATTTAAATTCTAACTTCAACTGGCCCACTTCAGTTGTAACATTTAAATTCTAACTTCAACTGGCCCACTTCAGTTGTGACATTTAAATTCTAACTTCAACTGGCCCACTTCAGTTGTGACATTTAAATTCTAACTTCAACTGGCCCACTTCAGTTGTGACATTAAACTTCAACTGGCCACTTCAGTTGTAACATTTAAATTCTAACTTCAACTGGCCCACTTCAGTTGTGACATTAAACTTCAACTGGCCACTTCAGTTGTAACATTTAAAGTCTAACTTCAACTGGCCCACTTCAGTTGTGACATTTAAATTCCAACTTCAACTGGCCCACTTTAGTTGTAACATTTAAATTCTAACTTCAACTGGCCCACTTTAGTTGTGACATTTAAATTCTAACTTCAACTGGCCCACTTCAGTTGTGACATTTAAATTCTAACTTCAACTGGCCCACTTCAGTTGTAACATTTAAATTCTAACTTCAACTGGCCCACTTCAGTTGTGACATTTAAATTCTAACTTCAACTGTCCCACTTCAGTTGTGACATTTAAATTCTAACTTCAACTGGCCCACTTCGGTTGTGACATTTAAATTCTAACTTCAACTGGCTCACTTCAGTTGTGACATTAAACTTCAACTGGCCACTTCAGTTGTAACATTTAAAGTCTAACTTCAACTGGCCCACTTCAGTTGTGACATTTAAATTCCAACTTCAACTGGCCCACTTTAGTTGTAACATTTAAATTCTAACTTCAACTGGCCCACTTTAGTTGTGACATTTATGGCGCATTTCCACTACACGGTCGGCCTCGGCCACACTCGGTACGGCTCGGTACGGCTTGGCCGCGTTGGGCCTTAACAGGGCCGACTCACTTCATGCTGCGCTTCCATTACAGTTTAGGAACTGGGGTAGTTACTATAGTAACGCAGTGTAGGCGGAGCCGTGACGTCATCTTCAATGAGAAATCCAGAAACACAACACAGCCGTTAGCTGTGAGCACTCAGAGCTCACAGCTCCTTATATATGTTCAGAAACTCGACAAAAGTTAAACAAGTACAAACCACAGACTGCCTGTGTCATGGTGAATACAGTCGCTGCTGTATTTATGTCTGTATAGGCCGTTGTTGTGAGTGTGGACGGTCGGGGCATATACTGCGTTAGCTTAGCCAATCTCCATCTAGAAAAACACGAATTTTAAAAGGTTTTTCGCCTGCCGTCTGTCTGCAGACTTGACAAAGCATTAATTCATGGTTTTTACTAACCGGTATCAGTATGTTGTTACTTCGGCATCATTTTGAAACGTGTATTACAATTAAATCACGGTCAAATATGTCCATCTTGTTGTAGTTCTAGCCCTCTTGCCAGCGCTCCTCTCTCTAGTTTAGCATACTCAGCCCGACTCAGCCCTGTTTGTTGGCCCCGATAGAACCACAATTTTCTAGGGCCAGAAAAGAGGGGAAAAAGTGGCCCCGCGCCGTGCCGCGCCGGAACGAGGCCTAGTGGAAGCACAACCAAAAAAGGGGACGGCACGACACGGCACGCTTAAAGCGAGCTACGCGCTGCAATGGAAATGCGCCATTAAATTCTAACTTCAACTGGCCCACTTCAGTTGTGACATTTAAATTCTAACTTCAACTGGCCCACTTCAGTTGTAACATTTAAATTCTAACTTCAACTGGCCCACTTTAGTTGTGACATTTAAATTCTAACTTCAACTGGCCCACTTCAGTTGTGACATTTAAATTCTAACTTCAACTGGCCCACTTTAGTTGTGACATTTAAATTCTAACTTCAACTGGCCCACTTCGGTTGTGACATTTAAATTCTAACTTCAACTGGCCCACTTCAGTTGTGACATTAAACTTCAACTGGCCACTTCAGTTGTAACATTTAAATTCTAACTTCAACTGGCCCACTTCAGTTGTGACATTAAACTTCAACTGGCCACTTCAGTTGTAACATTTAAAGTCTAACTTCAACTGGCCCACTTCAGTTGTGACATTTAAATTCCAACTTCAACTGGCCCACTTTAGTTGTGACATTTAAATTCTAACTTCAACCGGCCCACTTCAGTTGTAACATTTAAATTCTAACTTCAACCGGCCCACTTCAGTTGTAACATTTAAATTCTAACTTCAACTGGCCCACTTCAGTTGTAAAAAAGTCTTCCGACAGAATTTAGAGGAATCTCCTCATAAATGGTCGGTGCTATCAAACTCATTCAAACTTTACATTCTAATTCGACAGAATCCAGAGGAATCTCCTCATAAATCGCCGGTGCTAAAAACACATTCAAGCCTAGAGTCCGACAACATTTAGAGGGATCTCCTCATAAATGGTCAGTGGTATCTAACACATTCAAACTTTCATTCAACAATTCACTCAAAACCAAAGTCAAAGTCAATGTGAGAGAACTTACCAAGGTGAGAGAACTTACCAGGGGAAAAACCCCGCTCTGGAGCTTTTCTCCCTCATCTAGTGCTTTTATGATCCACACAGGGACAGCAAACCAAAGACACCTCCTTCATACCCATATATGTGGGAAAAGGTCATGGCCTCTGGTGTGCAGGACTGGACATGTCCAGACATATTCTATGGCCTAAACACATTTTGGGGCTTCAGTACTTTTCCAGGGGCTTTCACACCGGAGTACTTTTCCCCGTACTTTTCCCTTTTAGTTCCGATAGTTCCTGGGATTTTGCGTTCACACCAAAAAGAGAATTTAGTTCATGAGAACTTGTCCCCCCTTTTCAGTCCCTGCTAGAGAGCAGGTACTTTCCTGGGGAGAAAAAAGTTCCAATTTGTGATTGGCTGGGCGAATTGCAAACCACGCCCCGTAAAACTCGGAAAAGTTTTGTGAAGCCGCCATTGTATTTGCTTGCATTAGCATTATTAGCATTAGCATTAGCCCCGCGCACCAACGGAGAGAGACTAACTTATGGCAACACAAAAAAAAACATGGGAGCGGTGGAGATGAGGAGCTGTCGGCCTTCTGGCGATTTACTCAGAAGGCTTCAGTAGAAGCTGCTGGGAGTCCCAGCAGCTTCTACTGAAGCCAGTCCCCAACTCCGGGGACTTCCGGCCGGGGACTTCGGGTGGCAGTATACACCGTGAAGTGGTTTGCGGCCTGCCAGTAAACCCAAAGCAGAAGAAGAAGAAGTGACGTCAGCGGCTTCATTTGCGTAATCTTCCCTCAGGGAACTTATTCCGGTGTGAACGCGATCTGCTCTTTAGTTCCATGGGGGAACTTAGACCCCGTTTACACGAGGAAGATACGGGTTGTATCCGCATAGTTTCTCTTGCGTATAGCCCTTTCGTTTACACGAGGCCGTAACAAAACGATAGAAACGGACCCCGCAAACGATAACGGGTCCCAAGGTGGATAGATCTGCAAACGGAACGCTCTGGGGGGGCAAACGGCTCCGTGTTTACGCCTCTATACGATCATTTTCTGATAACGATGAAATAACCCTGCCTCCCTCTCCCCACGTCTCCTGCTCAGAGATCAGCTGCTGGGCTGTCAGAAGAGGGGGAGGAAAAGAGAGGCTCTGTTTATTATTATTATATTATTATATAGAGTCGTTATCAATTTGTTTTAAACCTCAATAAATAACAAAGAAGACCTCTGACCGGCACTTTTCTAATTTTGTCCGGAAGATTTAAACTTTAACGGACATGTTGACCGGCGAACTTTTTTTTTAACGGGAACTCTGCCCCACGGTTCCCTCGTCCCTTGGAAGAGGCGGAGAGGTGGGTGTTTTTCATCTGCTGGTGGACTACCGGAGAGATTTACAGCAGGAGCACACGCCGTCCACCGCGGAGAATAAACAGAAGGGCAACCATGCTCCGGGGTCTTCTACGCTGCTTTGGGTGTATTTTGTGGCGGCAGCAGCGCCAATTACAGGCCCGGCATATGTACTACAGCGTTTCTAGCGTTTCCAGCATTTCCAGCGGTCTCGTGTGAACGGACGCGTTAATTGAGCCGAATGCGTGTGAACGGAAGACTTTTTTGAAAACGCATACGGTGCGTAAACGCTAACGTTCCCGTGTAAATGGGGTCTAAGTGCTGGGAACTAAGTACGGCAAAGTACTTGGTGTGAAAGCGGCTCTCGTCAGGGGCCCCCCCCTGTGCACATCCAACTGTGAGTGAAGACAACCGTCTCCCCTCTTTAAACAGTGACACCCTATAGTGAAACTATAATAGGCTTCTCTAAACTCAATTTAACAAACCAATTGTGTTTTGAATATACTGTGATTATAGAACAACATGAAATATAATGCATTTTCATTGTGGGTTAATACAAGAATATATTTGATTATATTAAAGGGGACCTATCATGCAAAATGCACTTTTGTACGTCTTTTATACATGAATATGTGTCCCCGGTGTTCCAGGGAACTCACCAAGTGTCAGAAAACACAACCCTCTCTATTTTCCTCCAAACCCAAATCTCTAAAAACGGGGCTGCAACGGATCTGATAAAAACTGATCCAGATTTGAACACGTTACTGACGTCAGGACGGTGGCGCTACGGCTATTGGGCCAACTCTCCACCTATCAGGGGAATATGGGGTTGGGCCACGGCCGGCCATTGCCGCTCGAAAGCGCTGGAGACGCTGTAGTACATATGCCAGGCCTGTAAGTGGCGCTGTAGTCTGCTACAAAAGCAGCGAAGAAGACTTCCCGCGCATGGTTGCCCTTCTGTTTATCCTCCACTGTGGCTCTTTTTCTCCCTCCCCGAGGCAAGCGTTTGCTCCTGCTGCTGTAATTCAATGCAATCCCTCCCCGTCGAGGCAAGCACTGTAATTCTCTCCGGTTAATCCACCATCAGATGACAAACACCCACCTCTCCGCCTCTTCCAAGGAACGAGGGGACCGTGCAGCAGAGTTTCAGTTAGGTTTTTTTTCGCCGGTCAACATGTCCGTTAAAGTTTAAATCTTCCGGACAAAATTAGAAAAGTGCCGGTCAAAGGTCTTCTTTGTTATTTATTGAGCTTTAAAACAAATTAATAACGACTCAATATAATAATATAATAAAACACGGAGGACGGAGATCTCTTTTTCTCCCCCTCTTCTGACAGCCCAGCAGCTGTTCAGAGCACGCTCCCCTCTCCTGCAGGGGGGCGTGGTCAGCTGCAGCTCACAGAATCAGCCCCCTGCAAAAACAGTGCTGGAAAGAGCAAATGGAGCGAAATGAGGCATGGCTAAAATGCAGGATCTGTTTGGTATTTTGAAAAAAAAACTATATTTATATACTTTATATAGGTATGGCCCTACAATATATTGTTCAAATATAGCATGATAGGTGTCCTTTATCTTTCGTTTTAATTATTCAACCTAATATGGAGACCTCAACACCCCACAGACCTGAACGATGAGAGATTACTGATACACACAACAAACGCTTTCTCAAGGAAACCTCTTTATTTGTTAAATAATAATCATTGTACGAAACAAAACTACATTTTCCAAGTAGTGGCATGAGTTCTTCTCATTTTACAGATCATTGTTTTGTAAAAAGACAATACAAAAGCAGTCACTAAAAATATAACATGCACGCTCTCAGAATCGCACACACACTGACACACACACTCTCTTGATGACACTTAATGCATTGTACGGCAAGATTATCAACAATGCTGATAAGAGATACCAGGCAGACAGAAGCAAAGCGCTGTACATGTGGAGGCAAAAACATTCTTCCAACAAAGATGATCATCGGCTAGTTCACAGTCTTGTGGGATTTCATTGTGTTGGATGTAAAAAAAAAGAAAGAAAATGACCTCCATGAATATTATTTTGTGCAGACCGTCCAACCCTGTCCAGGAGTCATTGTGTGAAGGCGATGCTGAAACGTGTTTTCCTGTGCTTTTTGAAACCTCCTCATGACATCTTCTCGTCATCTTTCATAAGGCAGGATTGCAAGTGAGAACTACAGTCCAGAAATCAAACAGGGGCCCCACTTTTCTTTGAAAGGGGCAGTGTGTGAGTTTTAGTGGCATCTAGAGGGGAAACAGCAGTATGAATACTCCAGGAGCGTTACAGAATAGTGGCCTTCAGGATTTCTATCTGGGAAACGCCCAGAGCTGACAGGAGATCATACTTTCACCACACGATATCTCTTCAGTGATCGAGAGGATTTATTGTTTTTTCCAGCCCTAAATAATGAATACTATCCTCCTTTGTTTTAAATGTGGGTTCTCAAACAACACAGAATGGTTACCCAGCTTCAGCATCAACAAATTCTTTTTCTACTTTTATTATTTACCCACTGGTGTTATTTATTGAGCTGTGCTGGTTTTATTACCCTCAGACAGAGCAAGCTGTTTCCAGTCTTTGTGGTGTGCTAAGCTAACCAGCTGTTTTTATACAAATATACAAGAAACATTCAACTCTATTCAAGAAAGTATTTGACAAAAAGCCAAACTTCTCCTTTAACCTCAATCATAAAATGTCCTTAACATTCAGTTTGAACGTCTGCAGCAGAACAACAGACTGACGGTCACAACATAAACAGATTACGTGTTGACTCAACCTTGAATAATCCCCGCAGTGAACTTCACAGCTCAGGGTCGGTTCAATTCCTCCAATCACAACATTACCACGTTCTCAAAGAGCGAGGAACATGAAAGGCACGCAGCTGGTCGTTTCACACCAACAGACACTGTGCGTTCTGACGTTGTGCTGAAACCACTACAGGGACTTTATTTCAGTTTCATTTAGTTTGTACATTTGTGCTTTAAGAATACCATTTACAGGCACCTTATTAGAGCCAAAGTACATGATGTTTGTGCTTACGTTGTGGGTATCAGCTTGCAATCTGAAGGGTAAACAGAAGATGGGTGTCTCATTTTGAAAAATACAGCACTGAAGTAGAGGAATGTCTTTCTGTGTGTGAGGACAAATATAAAAGAAGACTATTGCTGAGATGGTCCCACTTAACATGCACATGAATAAAGCATGTTCAACCTTTGTCTGTAGGTTGATTTGATTGAAGGGTTTAGAGAAAACAGGACTCCATGCAGGGCAGGAGTTCAGGAGGAGTAGGGTGACCACTGAAACACGTACTTCTTGTCATGTTGTCACAGACGGTGGGGGGTGTGGTCCTCTGACAGTTAGAGGAGATCACATACACGTCGAGCCCTCTGGAAGACACCCCAGCTGCTTCTCAATAATACACCGCAGGTACGTATACCTGCAAGGAAAAGCAGAGACATTAAGAGAGAGAATAATTAAATAAGGGTGATGTGTGACACAATTATTAGCAAAAGGCTCTACTTTATGGCGCATTTCCATTACAGTTTAGGAACTGGGGTAGTATCTATAGTAACGCAGTGTAGGCGGAGCCGTGACGTGATCTTCAATGAGAACCCCAGAAAAACAACACAGCCGTTAGCTGTTAGCACTCAGAGCTCACAGCTCCTCATATCTGTTCAGAAACTAGACAAAAGTTAAACAAGTACAAACCACAGACTGCCTGTGTCATGGCGAATACAGTCGCTGCTTTATTTATGTCTGTATAGGCCGTTGTTGTGAGTGTGGACGGTCGGAGCATATACTGCGTTATCTCCATCTAGAAAAACACGCATTTTGAAAGGTTTTTCGCCTGCCGTCTGTCTGCAGACTTGACAAAGCATTAATTCATGGTTTTTACTAACCGGTATCAGTATGTTGTTACTTCGGCATCATTTTGAAACGTGTATTACAATTAAATCACGGTCAAATATGTCCATCTTGTTGTAGTTGTAGCCCCCTTGCCAGCGATTCTCTCTCTAGTTTAGCATACTCAGCCCGACTCAGCCTCGTTGTCTCTGGCCCTAGACCCACGATTTTATGAGGCCAGAAAGACTGTGAATTAGGACCCGCCGGCCGGTACTAGGCCAAGTGGAAACGCAACCAAAGACGGGCCGCTGACGTCACAGCTCTCTTAAACCGTGCTCCGCGCTGTAGTGGAAACGCGCCATTAGACTCAAAAAACAACAACACATGTGTTCAAATGAATATATTATTCAGATCAGCCACAACCCAATGGACATCCAAAGCCTTCAATATGAACCAGTTTAATCTTAATTGATGCTTTATGTCAATGCCATTTGTTGATACTTAGAAATAGTTATAGTATTTGACAAAAAAGGCAAGCAAGCAAATTACAACATGATTGTATTATTTCTCCAAAGATAGAGTTTTTTTGTTGTTGTTGCAGTTTTTAGATGCTCTTTTCATTTTGTTCTTGTGTTTAGGTATTTTAATGCCGGTGAATTTGAACTTTGTAACATTAATTATGGTATAGCTTTTGTACTGCAATCTTTCTTCATTAGCCGTTAACAGATTTAATGCTGTTTTGCTTTTGTTCAACACACCAATAGAGTTGTAGGTATTTCTAAGAGATCTGTGTTTACTGTTACAGAGAAGCCGTGAAAATGTGTGACAACAAAGAAAAAGTGTTCACACATTTGCAAGAGAAGTCTTCTGGATCCCAGTTTCCTAAAGCGTGTCTCAGTGATCGAGAGAAACTGTAGATTGCATTTTTAGTTCGCTCATAACATCCGATACACGTGTTGTAATTTGGATTAAGAGGAAAAAACCTAAATTATATTTTCTTGTACCTTCTCCTGAGTTTCTGCACTTCTCTGTCCTCCTCCTCCTTCAGTTTAGTGATGAAACTCTGCAGGACCGGCATTTCAAATTTGATATACTGCGCCACCTGGTGGATGGGAGCAGAAAGATAATGACAAAGCACAAAAACAGGAAGACTAATGTGAGGTAACAGGAACACAGAGGAAAGGAGGAAGACATGTTCATATCTCTGTGACAATGAATGCTGGGATTTACATCATATGTGACTTCTTCTCCGAGGTCCGCCTCCATGAGGAACACCTTGCAGACCTGCTCACAGGGACCCTGCATCACTCTGAGCACCAGAGGGTGGTCCGTGCGCTTCAGCTTCGCACGCTCTGAAACACCAACACACAGAGAAATCAGTCAACAGAACAACAACAACTACTCATAACAAATACCATTGAAGTATTTTCCTCATTAACAATTCTTTCCCTTGACAAACAAGAAATAAACTCACTCACCTCCACTTGTATGGACCAGGTAGAGCGCAAAATCATCGGGGCTGTTTTCAATTTTGAACTTGTTGAGGAGCACTCGCAGCACCTGAGGCGTCCTCATGCAGCTGTTGATCCGGACATTAGTCACTGAGCCGAAAGAAGGAGTGAACACCGATGTCTGCAAAGAAAACAACACATGTTGAGCTTTCTTTACACACTTCATGTGCGTATATTTGTGAACAGATTCTGCCAAACCCAGCCTCAGTTTAAACTCCCTGAAACATCTGTCCAGTGTTTACTTCATGTCCCAGACTCTATAGAGATCCGCTCGATCACCTTATGGTTGTAGAAGTGTCCGTTGATGGAGAAGCGATGGCGTCTGATCTTCCTCTGGTCGCTGGGCGAGCGCCGCTGCCCCCGTCTCAAGATGCCGGCGTCGCTCTTCGTCCTGAGGAGCTGAGCCGAGCTCTCACTGTCCTCTGTCCAATCAACAGTCAGTATTACAGTCAATCAGTGCTAATTCATGGGAAATGGACTGTATTTATATGGCACTTAAAGATTTTAATTGCCATTTCTACACTGTAACTTATGAGCATATGACATTAAAACCTTTGAATCACTTTATCCAGTCTTTACGACCCCTCAAAGCGCTTTACTTACTACAAGTCATCATTCACCCCTTCACACAGAGCAACGTGCCACTTCGGGAGCAACTGAGGGTTAAGTGCCCAAGGATACATCGACATATTGACCACATGGCTAGGAACGAACCCACAACCTCCCGATTGAAAGGCAACCACACTCCCTCGCAGTTCAATTACAGTTAAATTAAGCAGTGGTGGGCAAAGTACTTAGGTATTTAACATAAGTACAAGTAAACATACTGTTATAAATAAATAAATAAAAAAGTCTTCATTGAAATATTTGCTTAAAGGAACTAAAGTACGGAAGAATTGACTTAAAGTACTCATTCAACTTAATTCATTCTGCTTGTGTTTGAATTTATGTTAGAATTAATCATCTAAATCTGCACAGAGACTAGTTACTAATAATGTGCATGAAATGTATAACATTTAAAAGTACAATATTCAATTTAGAAATAAACTAGCATAACATGGAAAAGCTAAAGGAAAGTACCTCACTATTGCACTTAGGTACAGTACTTGAGTAAATGTACTTTGTTACTGTCTATCACTGGAGGGAAATGTAACATTTTGTATCACCGTTGTCTTACGCAAACCTTGTACTCCCATGAAATGATACAGTATACCCCTTTAAGTGTTGAGAACCTCTGATCCAACTAGACAGACTGAAAATAGGCTTTAATTCCTTCCACATGCAAAGATGCCATTTTAGATGCAAGAGGTTTCCACCCCACAGCAACGTTTAAATAAAGCAGCTGAGGGTTAATCAGAGATTTGGTCCAGTGTCTTTGTTAAGGTTAAGTTAATTTATTCTGATGGCGTAATGCAGTCTTTTTTTGTCGTGACTTTCAAGCCAAATAAAACAAATGAAAATGATTTATTAATACAGTTTGCCTGGGATTCATTTTGTTCACGGTATCCCATAGTCATGAGATTGATATACCATATGTTTACATATTTATAATGTTATATAAATAGAAATTATATAAAATGAAGCCCCTCACCTTCTGCCTCCTCTTCCTCCATCTCCCCGCCGTTCTCTGGTTGGCTGTCGGGGGCTGTCACCTCCACTGTGGGGGGGCTCTGCTGCGTCGTCTCTTGACTGTCAGTGCCGTTGGGGGAACTTCAACAAGGAGAAGGGAGAGACAATAACGTCAACACCAATTCCACAGTCTTTCACAAACACACACACCACCTAAACACACTTAAGGTACATCCCTGTCGTTTAGTTTCATCTTGTGACAGCGGTTCCTCTTTGTTGATACAGTATTTTGTGACGGTATTTCCTTAGATATTAAAAGTAATATTTATTTATTTTTGAATTTATGTTCAAGCATATTAAGTAAGTTGGCCTCTATGAAACTTTTTGTTTAAGCGGTTGTATGCATGTTTCTTCTTGAAACTGATAGTGGGACCTTTTAGTTGCCAGTAATCAATGCCCCTAATAAACAGCAACTTAACAGCTTTGATTTAACTGTGATTTAGTTACTTTAAGGTTAACGTCCCTTCACATGAAGGGTTGATGTTATTTTAAATGTCAGCTGCATGCCCGTGAGCTCAACAAGAATAGCTTCTTCAGATGAATGGGATTACAGAGCAGTAATGGGGCTTGAAGTCTAATGACACAAAACTCTAAAATCCAAAACTGAGCCAGACGTGGGTTAAAAGGTTCACCGTTGTCTCTGTAGCATTGCCAAGAGGATTTAGCAAACTGAGGAAATCCATACATCTTATTGAACCTTATTTTCCATCAGACAAACCAGATACATAATCTATATCTGCCGCCCCGCTGACCCCCTGTGTATCACCATTTCCGGTCAGAGAGGTGTAACGGGATCCGTCTGGACCTCTTACCCCTGACTGTCCAGGTTGCAACCCGAGTGCCAGGACGTGGAGGAGGGGGGGGGGCCGGATCCGCTCGTGGTCATCCTGCATCTGAAGCCTGATTGGTCGCCGCAGGCCCCAGAAGATATTCAGCAAACCCTCGACGATCAGCTCCCCCTCTTCCTGCTCAAGAGAGAGGAGCCGTGGTCAATGCAAACACATAAATAAACACACACAATGGACGTTTATTACCCCTTTGGGATGCAGCCTATAATGGGTAGGGTATATTAAATTGCACTGAATGAGAGAGAGAAAGTAAAAAGGGAGACAGGAAGGAGGGAGACAGACGGTGAGGAGAGCCTCTGTTGAAAAGGCAGATGATGAAACCTTCAAATAAGAACACACACACACACACACACACACACACACACACACACACACACACACACACACACACACACACACACACACACACACACACACACACACACACACACACACACACACACACACACACACACACACACACACACACACACACACACACACACACACACACACACACACACACACACACACACACACACACACACACACACACACACACACACACACACACACACACCTCTCTGTGTCTGAGCTGCAGATTTTGTCCATCATAGTAGAGGTTGTACGTCTTCAGATGTGAGAGGACGGTTGCCCTGGAGACAGAGATGTTGAATCACTGAGGAGGAAATGCTGCGTCTTTTAAGCAAACTTATGCTAACCTATAAGTCAAGTATATTTTAATGAAATGTCAAGCAAACTGTAAATATATAAGTGCTTCACAAAAACAGACATAGATTTACATGCGCATAGACGTTTTTTATTTTTTGATCTTCTTGAAAATATTATATTTGTTGGTGTCTCGTAAGTCTAAAGTATATGGGCTGGTACTTACTGGTCAAATACTTATTTACTGCATCCTTAAATCAACCAATAATTGTATGCATGTTCGGAAAATTGTCAGAAGTGTAAAGTAAAGTTAGCTTTAACATGAAATGATGAACAGGCTATAAAACCATCATTATTTCACACAATGTGATTTAACACCATACATTGGATGTTTTAACAAAGGTTTACAATGGGGAAAATAAACTGTTATAAGCAGGCGTTTGTATACAAGGGTCAGAAACAGCAAGGTATTTAATCCTTACTTCCTGATGAACTTGTTCTCTCCGATCTGAACCCCAAACTCTGTATCATCCATCGTCAGTCAGCATGAGAGGAGCTGAGGGACAAAGAAGCAACACAGAGATGAGTTCAAACTTTTTCATCCGTCTGATACAGTCTCATGACTCCACATGACCAGCAGCCAGCAACAGACACAGAGACAAGAAGCCCACAGAGGAGGAGGAGGAGGAGGAGGAGGAAGAGGAGGTGAAGCTCCTTACATTAACAATAACAGCAGATCATATCTAGTTCCCTGTCAACGTATTTCCTTCAGGAGACAGATCAACTCATAGTTAACAGCAGACAATCCAAACACTTGGTGTGTGATGGAGGGAGACAGCTGCTCTCTTCCTCCACTTTCCTACAATATATATATTCTCTTTCCTGTCAGCCCTTTAATTCTCTCCTCGTGCACACTTGCAGCTGTTTTAAATGGCACTCAGCCATCGCCCTGTAGAGTTTCCCTTCCCTCTCTGCTGGATGTTTGTGTGTTTCCGTCTTTGAGGAGGCAGGACAGGAAGGAGAGGAACAGGTGGAGGACACATGTGATACTCTGCCGCCAAATCCTTTCAGCTGCTTTAACGTTTATCCCAGAGCAAACCATCATATGCATTTATCGATCACATGTGTTCCCATGCACACAGTATGTGCAGTATATCTGTGACATAAAGTCATGGAGGAATGAAAAAAGCTGTTTCATGACTCATCCAAGAGGAGTCATCTCCAACTCCCAAATAAATGAGTCGACTTTTTTTTCCTGGAACGAATATTGTTCTCTGTCTTTTAAAGCACTTCAAGCACTTCCAATGTACCTAAAGCAACATTTACTCACTCCCAAAGCCTTTATCATCACATCTAATATTAAGATATTTTATAAAGTGGCTTTACATGAGTGCTTATGTAGATAAAACACTAAATGTGTTGAAAGTCAAACATTGAGTGAGTTTATTCAAATTCAAGATATTCCTAGATAAGGAAATATGAGAGAGAGAATGTGTTGGCAAACAATTGACTAAATGATGTTGTTTAGACTCACTGAGCAATGAAATGCTTCACATCTGCTTTGTAGCGTCCATGTTGTTTCCACATCACCATGACCTGATTCAGCATTATTCGTGTTCTTTTTGTACAAAGGTACCAATGGTTTCCATTCATGCTGGTATAGGATTCAAATAAATGAGGGGTCTTGAGACATTTGTGTATGCTGTGTAATCCATTGCAGTGAACATCAAGTTCTCATTGATTTTAATATTATCGTTGTTACAGTTAAAGTGCAGAACACAGTGACTGCCTCTATGACATATCAAATATCCAGACATGCTGCCAAATAAACGTGGTGTAAATATCAGTAGCAAGACTACAGTGATCTTACCGTAGTGAAGACGGTGTGATGTTGATTCACCAGAGAGAGGGAGCTGGAGAGAGAGAGAAATGTTTAGGCAGGTGGTCTCTTTACGTATCCTCAGGTATTAGCAGATTAGTGTTGTCTTCAAACGTCTTTTCTTGTGACAGCGATCAGACGAGGAAGAAGTGGGGGCGTTTAAAGGAAGTGCTCCCCTTCCGTTAAATCGCTTCCTCCTTTGCTCAGTCAGTCACACAGGAAACTGACACTCGCCCTGACATGGCCCAAAACTTCCTCAATTTAAGCAGCTCGGATGATTTATCATGCACAGCCAAACAAATAGTTATCACACACAGGAGTACAGGTAGAAAAATGTATAATACACACACATAAGCATTTTATGCTCTTATCAAGCTCCACTTTTGTGGAATCAGCTTCCAGTTTGTGTTCGGGCGGCAGACAGCCTATCCGTTTTTAAGAGTGCACTTAAGACCTTCCTTTTTGATAAAGCTTATAGTTAGGGCTGATTAGATTCAGCCAGAACAGATTACTCCTGTTCTGGCTGCCTTACACTGGCTCCCTATAGAACACAGGATAGAATTTAAAATTCTTCTTCTCGCCTACAAAGCCCTTAATGGGCAGGCGCCATCTTACCTTAAAGAACTCATTATACCCTACTGTCCTACTAGGGCATTGCGTTCCAAGAATGCAGGGTTGTTGGTTGTTCCTAGAGTTTCTTACATCTTACTTCTTCCTTCTCTCTGTCTGTACCTGTGTACTCTCATGTTCCGCATAACCCAGCATCCCGACATTTCTTTTTGGTGTCTATCTACGCTGGGATCCTGAGTCGTGGCTGATCCTGAGTCCTGATCTGAGTCCTGGTTTTCGAGTCGTGGCTGAACCTATCACTGCGGTCCTGCCTGACTCTCATCATACTACTTCCCTGATGGCTCCCACAGGATTGTTGACATCCTTGTGGATTCATCTTCTTATTATAGACACATGCATTTTCGAACATTTGGTCTACCTATGTTGTAAATGTATTATCTTTTCAATTTACACACGGCATCTATTGCACATCTGTCCGTCCTGGGAGAGGGATCCCTCCTCTGTTGCTCTCCGTGAGGTTTCTCCCATTTTCCCCTTTAAACTGTGGGGTTTTTCTCTGGAGGTTTTTTCTTATACGATGTGAGGGTCTAAGGACAGAGGGTGTCGTATTGTCATACTGATATTCTGTACAAACTGTGAAGTCCACTGAGACAAATGTAACATTTGTGATATTGGGCTATATAAACAAACATTGATTGATTGATTGATTGATTGACATAACTGCCAATATCCTCATCTAGATCACACACATGCCTAAACATTGTAAACAAAGATATTTAAAACCTGACATGTGGAGTAATGTAGCAGCTTTCAACACACAGTGCTGATATCAAGAGCCTGTCAATCTCTGAAATAAATGTGTTCAGTTATTGTGGATTAATTAATTATTAAACACCAATCAGCCCAGCCCCCTGCCAAGGCCTATCAATATTTCAGCACCTATATTAGCCCTGTCAAGCGCTCTGAAGCTCCGCCGTTCAGCGACACAAAGGAATCATTAGTCTTTAATACTGCCGCTGTGGTCAAGGGCGCTGTGCTCGTAGCGTCTGAACCAGCGGTCAGACAGAAGGGCGGCCGGCTGTCCAACCAACACAATGTTTTAATTGTGTCACAAGACCAACGTGAGTCAACTATCTGACATCTGATAGCAGCGATCCCTCTCTGATGTTACCTCAGGATATAAAGATCAAATCAGACATTTAACCTTTAAAGCTGATGAGTATCATTCCCTGTCGTAAATAATGTTAAGTATCTGCTGTTGGTGTTAGGATGCCGAATAAAAGTCATATCATCTATAGCAGACATGTATTCCCTTGAATAGAGAAAAACATTTTAAAATGCATGCAGCTTTCATAAAGCAACAGCAAACGCAAGTTCTGCCTTGACATTTTTACTTCAAGTTTAGAGTCTTCTGAAGATGTAATTGTTTTAAATACTTGTATGGTTACCTAGGTGCATAACAAAAAACAGTTTCAGACCAGTCATAGCTGTTCTCAAGTTATAACCAGAGGACCTGGTCTCTGTGGAGATGATCTGTGTGACATTTGATGGCTGCAGAAAGCCACCGCTGTCTCTGCCTTTCGATAGAAACCAACAGCAGCAAAATAAATGCAGCCAGACGCAGACAGCTGACCCAGTCCTGTTTCTTCTCCAAATGTGGATCTCATTGACTTCCTGAATCCCCCTGTGCCTCATTAAAACATCAGCCAATCCTCAGCCTCCATCTCCTCCTCTCTCCGTATCTTTACGTCTCTTTGTTGCCTTCATCTGTTCAGTTGTTCCTTACCTCACTCACTTGATTTATCCATGTTTTTCAGATTTGTGAAATATGTCCTCTCCCGTCGTCTGGACTGTTTTTCCCATTCAGTTCTCTGCTCCGTGTCCTTTGAGATTTCCTTGTGAAAGACTAGAAGCCATCCACCATGCTATTAAAACTCATGACCACAACTTCCTGACTTCCCCGCCCCCCCCTCCACTCTCTCCCTCTCTCTTTCATTGACACACATGCAGGCTTGTTTTCTGCCCTCTTGCCCTGTTGCCTCTGAACCTCCTCTGTCAAAGTCTCTGGCTGAAATGCACAATGAATGGCTCTAAACCTCCTCCTGTCCGCTTTCAAACCCACCACCTCCCCTGCCTCCAGCCTCCGCATTACTATTGCTCTGCCTCACTATTGTCAGCATTGTCATAGCAACACGAAAAACATCTGAGCTCCAGAAACTAGTCCACAGCACCGAGCCAAAAATAGTGTGTGTGTGTGTGTGTGTGTGTGTGTGTGTGTGTGTGTGTGTGTGTCTCCTGCTCCTCGTTAGGAATACTGAGGTTGTCAGAAAGCGCTGCAAGAATCTAAATATGGCTTCCAGATTTTCTTGATAAAGCAGAAAGTATTCGTGCCCCCTTGCTGACTGTAGAGCTGCAACGATTTGGAAGAAGATGTGTTTCTGCAGCTGTTTTGGTGATTGATCAATCATTATTACAGTGTTTTTCAAAGCCATATATGGCTAAATATTCACTGGTTCTAGATTTCTAACACTCAGTGTTTAATTATCTGCAAATAGGGGTCTCTTGATCAAACAATAAAGAAAGACAGTTTTGGGGCATTCTGAAGAAGCATGGGATCATGGGAGTTTGCAACTGCAGTCAGCTTGTCCTGGTTAGGTAAAGTATACAAAGGGTAAAAGTCGACATTACAGGCAATTACAGATTACATGTTACTTGTTAGACGCTTTTATCCAAAGCATACATACTCAATACTGTGGGCAATCCCCACAGGAGCAATTTGGGGTGAAGTGTCTTGCCCAGGGACACAACGACATGCTGACTGCAGTGGGGTTTGAACCTGTGCTCCCCTGATCCCAACACCAAGGCTCTAACCACTGCGCCACACGCCTCCCAGATGAAATGCTATGTTATTTTGGTTAAAATGAGATATTTGTTGGAAACATTTGGGATATTGGACATTACGGTTTGTAAATACGCAACGTAACAGTATATTTAACATAGGTTTACTCGTTTTTAGACATTTTAATGAGGAATAGTTAAAACTTTTAATTAATTTGAGTGAAAATGTAATAGTGTTGTATTCTTATATGATGCTAAATCAAATATCTTCAGGTTTTGGACTGTTTGGTCGGACAAACAAGACACTGTAAGATGTCACCATGGACTATTTTTGCTATCCATTGCAGTCGTTGTTGACTGGATACTTCATTAAAGATTAAGAGAACACTCAGTTACTACCTTATCAAACACCTACCTAAAACTAATGCAGTCTAGTATCACACTGCTTCAAAGAATCCTAATTATAGTCTTGTTTAATACTTAGGGTTGTTAATTCAACTGAACAGTCATTCTGGAGCTTGTGGTGCTGTATGATTGAATGCAGACCTCTCTGAAACAGTCTGAACAAACACTGAGCCTTACAAGCTTCATCGAGGTTTTGTTTATGGAAAGGCTGTTATAGTTTCACAAGCTGTACAAAGCCAGAACATTATTCACTTTCTGTCTATCCAGCCTTATGTGTGCCGAGAGGAGTCTTATTGCTTGTTATGTAACCTGTTTTTACTAACACAGCTGTATGCACACTCCCTGCTAGAAACCAAATGTAACTAAAACAGAGTTTTTTTTGTCATTTTATGCCCTAATTTTAGACATCAGTGCTACCGAGCATGCCTTTCATCACTGCATGTGATTTAAATTCACCACACAGCTCATACTAGAGATTGTTTACTCCATACATTTATCGAGTGTGCTTTTATACAATAAATACATTTATCTAATTTGCATTTAATGTCGTGAAAACATTTTAAAGTCTTCTTTCTTGTAAAAACACACCAACGCAGAGACAGCATCACGCTACAACGAGGCTCCAGCGTGATTCCTGCCGACTTTAAGAGCTCATATCTCGGCTTACCTAACCCCGTAAACGCAGGTTCTCCGGTTCTCCTCCTCGGTACGGCTGGCCTGTCTTTTAACGGTGAAATCCTGGGTTAACTCGTTCGCTTTTCCTGTCGTCGGAAACAATCACAGGGGCGCGTGCATCCAGGAGGAGAGCGCGAGAGGTCCATCTGCTGTGGCGGAGCTCGCGCACAGCAGCTTCGGGGGGCCCGGCCACGAGCCAATCAGATCGCGACCCTGACGCCCCTTTGTTCGCGCAGCGTGCGGAGATCAGTGAACATGAAAACAATGGCAGAACCGAGCATGCGCAGTGTGGAGACACATTTGGCATTTGATCTTAAATGTCCCGTGATAAACTCAAGCGACCTATTCAAAATAATAAACAAATGTTCAGTTTTGAGGTAAGTCAACATTTTGTTTTAACATAATTTGATAGTCATCATTTTTGCTTGAGTTTTTTTAAACATCTGATGATATTTTGGTAATTGCTAACATTCCATACATGTTTTCTACAATAATGACATAAACATTTTGATAAAATAAAAATATATTTGATCTTGGACCATTAGCAATGATGGTGATGGTTAAAAAAAACATGTTATCTTCAATTTGCTTCTGGGGAATTGTGATGGGTGATTTTCACAGCTTCATGTTTCATAGACTTAAGTCATAAATAAATAATCTTTAGTTGCAGCCCAAGGACTAGTTTTAACACCCAGTTAACGAGAGGAGCTCAAGATTTGTTAAAGAAAAATTAAAGTCCCTTACTGTTTTAGTTAATGTACATTATAAGTGTATATTCCCAAACAAAAATCACAATAAATTACATTACCACACCAATTGCAATTAATTGTTATCTCCAACTGTACAATATTACTTGTATTATTTAAAAAAGGTACATTCTTTTATATTTTTATCTAAATAAAAAAAGGCTTTGCTACCTGAATCATGTCCTTTAACAGGGTTACACTGTATTCTATAGAAATGCTGTATTGGTAGTTAAAATGCATTTCTAACAGTCACAGAACTGGCTACATATTTGAGTTTAATTGCAAAAAAGACAAAAGACTGCATTCATTCAGTAACATCTTATTAAATAGATTTAGGAACAACGAATAAAACATTTTGTAGCTACAATTAGTTTACACAATTTCTCTTCCAGAAGGTTTAGCAAACTTTACTGCATTAAATATACATGTTTTTAGTTTTTACATCTATTTAAAGTCTCATCTTGTTATTTTATATATATATATATATACACTGGTAATGTGTTAACATGAACAGAAAGCAATGTTAAGAGTAAAAAATGTAATATGAAAAGGTCCTAACAAAACACAAGAAAGGATTCCACCAAAACACAGATTCAAAATAGGATCGACATGGATTTACTTTTCAAATAAAAAGTACAACATAATGGTGCGTTTTCCAGCATGATTTAAGATTAAAAAGGTATGATTTGTTTCTTACAAATATTTGACATTAAAAAAAAAAAAAAACATTGAAAAAGACAAAACACTTTTACACAAGTATATTCTTAAGGTAGCACCCCCTTCAAAACAACTGAAAGGGATATATTTATTTGTGTTTTGCACCTTATGGCCACCATCCTAAGAGCTGCTGGTTATTCTAACTCGTGTGTGATTCAAGGACGAGAGTCTGTGCTTGTGAAATTCAAAGAGTTTTCACTCTAACTGTAACAACTATGTGATCAATAAGAAAGTACAATACAAACTGGCGGGTAAAAGCTAAAAACAAGAGGAAGCTGCCTGTAGGCAAAAATACATTTTGCTGTTAGGTGATAAGGCAGGTTCACTCACAACAACCAACAGAGTCTTAATAAGGTGGCCAGCCGGTGTCCTGCACCCAGTAACATTAACAGTAAGAGTTCCCGGGAGAAAACCAGGTACAGTAAACATAAGAGGACACCAGTACACTGCAGGACTGAGGGGTTAAACAGAGTTTGTATGTGAGTGTGGAGAGGAACATTTGACCCAGAAAACAAAGTGACACATTGTGCATGTGATTTTTATCTGTGCATGCCATGATCTACAGAATCACTGCAAGGTGTGCTGAAAACATTTCAAACCACCTCAATTGCTCTCCTCTGTAAAAGAAGAAGCATTAGGATGAGGGGTCTGCTCTCTGACCTCTCACGTGAACATCATCTCCACAGCACATATTAAGATGATGACGGTGAGGTTTTAGATTTTCAGTTTCTGCACACATCAGTAGCGGGTTGTCAAGCCTACTTTGTGACCTTACCAGTCTTTTCTTTCTCCGCCATGAGATCAACATTTAAATCAAACATTTCCACAGACTGCAAGCCATCAGTTTGTGACCTGAATTTCAGCAATTATTACCACCATTTTCTAACTTAATTACATACACCTGAAAAATGGTGCCCCTGTAGTGTCTGGACTTTAGGCTGTGTTCAAAATGCATACAAATATATATTCTAATATATATATATATATATATATTCACACTAAGTATTACATAAAATGACTATGTAGTGCGTTCCAGCTGCATAGTATGTTGAATTTGTGTACGTTGATACGGCCTGAATGTACACTAGATTTTCAAGATTTCTTTTAACATTAAGTGAAAGAAAGTACATTTACATTTGCAAACAACTGTTTTTAATTAACAGAAGCTGGGACCGTAAGTATGCGATTAAAAGTCAAACACATTTTGACAGCCTCGATTTCATAGTTCTACAGGCTAGTTCAATGTTATCTAGCAAAGTAGTAGAGCAAGGAGGAGCATCACAGTCTGTGGAAATATAAGATTTTAACTTGGTCCTGGGCAAACATTTTTATTATACCCAGCGGCACAAGACATTTACAAGATCACTAAATATCTTTAAAGACCCAATTTTATGTTTTGATTCTTTTTGCATTTTGCGATCGAATCACAAGAATAGTATTGTTGTAGGTGTCGAAGTCATAACTGGGGCCACAGCTAACCATGCTGTTATAGACAAAGCTCCAAAACTGTTCAATCACAATCCGCCCCTTGATTTCAGGTCATTCAACAAAACAACGTTCATACTTATACTTTTGACATTTTAGGGTTTCTCACTCTGACACCCTGATCTTGTTGGCACCATTACATGTGCAAACAGTACTTGTAGCAAAAAGGCATTGATAATGAAGCTTGACTAAGCTATCCAGTTGTAACATTTAAGTGTTTTTCTCTTTTTTAAAACATCATGACATAAATGGAATGAAATAGAAGCAGCTTATATTAGGAACCATCTTTAGAAAGAAATGCTGACGCCAGCTGTGAGTTTGTAAACGCACGCCTGTAGCTGAGGGTGGTCCATCGTCCTCACACCGATCTTTAGGGGGCATGAACAAGTAGATTAATAAATATACTTTCAACATTGTGTAACAGACACATAAAACTGCTTCAGGTAATCTCTAAGCATCCACTTTCTGCTCATAAATAAATAAATAGCTTTAACGTCGTAGATAAAAAAGTGAGGACATTTGGGAAGAGATGTAAAAATAATTTCTTTTTAAGTTTCTAAATAGCAATAAAAAGCCAAAACTTGTAAAAGAAGTGTTGGTACAGTATGCGGGAAACACGCGATCAGATGAAATCAAAATAAAGAGCTTTTTGGTTTAGTAAAAAACTAAATATTTAGTGTATTAGCTGTCGTTTTTCTCATTCTACGACTCGTTTCATCGTTTACCAAGATTATATTTCTGCAAACTCTTTAAATGGCGTTTTTAAATTGCTGTTTTTCCAATTGAAAACACAAAAGGCACAACGTGTCGAATTAGAGACTAGCTCTTCAGGCCTAATAAGTAACGGGCTGCTGATGCTCTGAAACTTTAATCATTAAACTCTACTCAGCTAAATGTACCGCCACAACCTGAACTACAACAGACAGAGACAAACATCAGCAGTTCATTAAAGAGGGATAAAAGTGGGAGGCATGCGAGGGACCGCAGATGGGAGGAGGAGGAATGTAGGGGAATTAATAATCATCAAACTGCAATAACATTAAACTCTCCCAAACCCCTCTGTTCTTTGAAAATACTCCATATCCAGACAAAACCACCACCTTTACTTCCTAGTACAATCATGTACAGGCTTACTGAATGTACTAATGTGAAGTGGGTTTGGACAGTGTCGGTGGGGTACTATTTATGGGTAGAGCTTGTTTTGTAGTTTTGTAATCAAAAAAGGATTTGTTCCATAAGTGTGAAAAGTCATTTTAGTGACTGATGCATAATATTGACACATTGAAGAGATGTAAACTGGTTTTGTGAAGATAAAACTGAAGCGTCTACTGCTTCAGAGAAATGGGGGATGCGAGTTTCTTTACCGCGAGATGAGTGGATGTTTTGCGTGCTGAACAGGTCTCTGAGTGGGTTTTACTGAAGAAACGGGGGCATGAGCTGCGGAGAGACATTCTGCTTTTGAACTCAGGAGGCAGATAGTGCAAAAATAAAAAAACTCACAATCACTTTGCATGGCTAAGGGCACCTGACGAACAACTCCCATCAATCTGAATGACCCAACGTGCATTGTAGCGCTCAAGCTAGTTTTGTTGAGGCTGAAGGTGTGTGAGCACATATGTGTGTGTGTGTGTCTCTCTAATGAGGCTGCATAACAAGTTAAGAGGCAGATGATCCATACCAGGAATTTTGCATAATCCTCGATTGACATAACCTAATCTACTGAGTTTTCAGTAAAGTATGTTTTATAATATTGTTAAATTAGCAAGTAATGATCCAAACATTCAGCATGAATGTTTGATGTCCACCTGTCTCTTCCTGGATTATAGTGCAATTAAAATAATGCACAAAGACGTTTTTCTCTAAATGCAAACACACATGCACACACACCAACTAACCTCCGCATGGTGACATCTTTTATAGCATGCTGTGATTTGCTATAGCATGCTTTAAATAGCATAGTGGGAAGTGGGAAAAGACTGACACGAGCTAAAGAAAACACATACTGGGGGTGGGGGGGGGGGGGGGATTGTGCATCACACACAGTCCCCGAATCCTGCATCGCTTCAGTCCTCTACTCTCCCATCCATTTACCTTATTGTACCATCCCTTGCTCCCAAACTTCAGCCACATTTTGGATGTTGTGGCCCCAGCCTGTTGGCTATACCCCACTCTCCCCTGGAGCTGCGCCTCCTTCCCCTCCCTTCACTGCATCCCCATGTCCCTTTCTGCTCCGGCAGGCTCCCCGTAGCTTCCCCCACTGGTAGCCTTGGAAGGTGGGGCTGATGGGGAAGTACTTGAAGACCGGGTGTCTGCGGAGAAAGTCCATCCCAAACGGCAGATCATACGATCTCATCCCTTCCAGCTCTGCTGTGCTGACACCAGTGCCACGCTTCAGCTTCTTGATGCCTCGCTCTTCAGCGGTGCCTGAGCAGGGAAGAAAGAAAGATTAATCATAGTTTTTACTTTGGAGATATAACTGCTCCGAAAGAAAGCTATGACTAAACATTTTAATTAATGAAATTTTTTCCATCGTTCACACGAAACAGCCAGCCCATACTTTAACGCCCAGCTTTTCACTCAACGTGTACAAATAAAAACTGTATAAAAAGGTTCACTTTTTATGATATAAATGAAAAAGGACATTTGACACAGGACTTGCACTACATACAAAAAAAACTGTCAAATTAACACATTGTCAAGTTGATCCAGCCATTGCATTTATAGCCCAAAGATCATTTCAGGCTGCATTTAATACGGAGTTGGACAGATGTACGAAAAAGAGAGTATGAAACCCCTTACCAGGTATGGTATTGTCCAAAACGAAGGCTACAGAGCCTCCGACAAACATGGCAGTGGTGAGGAGCACGTTCAACACTTGATCTACGCCAACTATTCCTGCAAATTATGAAAAAAGACAGGGGCTTAGTTACTCTTTAAAAAAACAATTAAATGTCTCTCAGTTTCAGTAACACACATTTTGGAATATCCTCACAAACTCATACCAGTTATAGTTCAGTAAATGCCATCCTAAGACAGCCTGTCAGCGATGTATCTTTACCCAGAGAAACTACTCACTGGGTGTATTTGCATCTATTGGGTTTGTTTATTCACAAGTCATTCATGGATCAGTCTACAGAGTGTTAGCAGTTTGAATGTAACCGCGACAGAAAATGTCTCAACATGTTTAAGAGAATGCAGTTGGAGGTCCAGATGTGCAAGACTTGGGAAAAAACGATGTGATAAATGTAAATGCTTACAGCAGAAACTGATCTATTTCTAATCAATAATGCGAGTGTGGCTGAGAAGTAACAAAAAAACATGGCTGAAAATGTCAGACACAAAAGCAGAGGTTGCGCTAGATGCCCACTGCACCTCGTGGGAGCGCGCACAGCGTAAAGCCAAAACTCCCTGACATTTCAATGATTTGTACGGCAAAGTTAGGTTTGGAAACGGTATCATTTTCTTTTGGGCGGGCATGCATAACACGGCATAACACCGGAACTATTATTATTTTTGCATTGCTCATGCTCTTATTGTTATTATGTTATTATGTTGCATTGTTGGAGAAGCCTGTGACATAAGATTTTCAACTACATAATTACTCTGTAACTATGTCAGATTGACAATAAAGAACCTTGAACTTTGAACCTCGCTGCGGGGAAACTTTGTCAACATGTCGAATCGGCGGCGGAAGGTGTCGGCACGGCCCGAAAAGACACGACGGTGCAGTACACACCAATCTGAGTAGGGCGACACGACGCTCATCGACGGCCCGACATCTATCGAAAATCGGCTCGGTGTGTAAGGAGCTTTAAACCAAAGTTACTCAGAGTCATAACTCAGTATGTTACTCCTGTTAATCACAAATAATTCATAAGAGGTCCAGGGTACAGAGAATCTTGGGCAGAGGAATATTTGAAATGCTCCATTAATCGGTACTGAGCTAAATGTGAGTCACAATTATCCCTCATGATAATTCTAAGTACACGGCCATTGTGTTTCTTGTGTTTCTTGTGTATCTATCCCCGACTTACCGGTGACCAATGGGTTCTCTTTGAGGTAGCTGGGAAGCGTCAGGCCGAAGAAGATGGAGAAGCCGAGAACAAAGAGGTTCCTGGAGGAGTTGAGGTCAACAAACTGCAGGTTGGAGAGTCCCACGGCTGTGATCATCCCAAACAGGGTGCAGAACAGAGCTCCCAGGACGGGGTCGGGCAGGGAGGCAAACAGGGCGCTGAATTTACCCACGAGCCCCAGAAGCACCATCATGGCAGCTCCATACTGAATCACACGTCTGCTGCCCACCTGGGAGACCAATCAGAAATCAGAGGTCAGAGGGAGCAAAGACAGGTCAGCCAGGGCGGGCTACAATATCAATTAAACAAATAATGCTCCCACCATCCAGTTCATAGCACGTGGTAATGTGATGCTACACATTATGTTATTTATAGAACATTATAAAATAGCTGAATGAAAATATTCAATATCCTTATGTATCGTGGCGGATGTTTCCTGGGCATGATTTTGAAGCATCTCACAGTGTATTTGTACCTCGACTTTAACAGAATCACACTTTGTAAGAAGGGCGAATGGGTAAGGATCAGTGTGAGGAACTTTGAGATTTTTTATTTAATGCAATGTAGGGCTGAAATGATAACGATAACGACTGTTCTCATTATGAATTCATGTGACTAAAATGTAATCTATAAATGAGAGAATTGTGAAAAATGCCCATGAAAACTTCCTAGAGCCCGAGCAAACATTTTGTCAAACCAACATCCAAAACCCGATCATATTTCATTTTAACAGTGGAAAAGGAAAATATCCTCACATTTAAGAGAATCAGCAAATCAGGTATTTTTTCCGTTGAAAAGGGTTAGGGTTAAAACAGTTGAAAATTATTTGTCTTTCTTTATGTTTTCCTATTCCATATAGTCACTTACCCTCTCAGATCCTGTTTATTTATTTTACACAAATACACCATCACAGTAAATAAATAACATTATTAATTGCAGTGAGCAAACACTGTTACCTTTGTGATTCCAAGAACGCCTATATTCGGACTGGAGGAGGTGGAGCCATTTCCTGTCCCGAAAACACCATCCAGCACACAGGAGATCCCCTCCACAAATATCCCCCTACATAGAAAACACAATGAAAGTATTTTAATTTCACTTGATTTCCAAACAAACTCAATTATTACAATGATGAAGAACAGAGACTATTTGAACTGAAGGGTCACCTATTGATGGCGTGGATGGGGGGTGGAGGAGCACAGGAGAGACGTGCGCAGGCGTAGTAATCTCCGATGGATTCGATGATGCTGGCCACCACAGCGCTCATCATGCCGATCACACCTGCAGCCGTTACTGTCGGGAAGCCCCACTGGACTGTGGAGGTAAAACACAGAGTGGGTCAGAGAGGAGAAACAGCTGCATTCATTATGGTATGATTTACAACACTATGATCGGCCTTCCCTCCAACTATTTTACCTTTGGTTCTATTTATTGGTTTCTGTCAGTAGAGTCCTGTGATATATACTTGTTTATATCATAGTTAAAGCATTTTCACATGTTCTTAAGGAGAGAAAAGTATTTCGATAAGACTTGGAAAATCGATTACCAGATTGCTTTTTAATCCATTTTCCTCTCAGGGCTCCCTACAAAATTGTCGAACACAGCACAACACCAACAATCTGTTCCTCCTCACAAACACTTACATGGGTACGGTATCTTAAACCACGGGGCAGCTTGGACGATTCCTTGACGTGCGTCTGTGCGGGCTTGGTAACCGTATTTGTCTACTTCCGGCGGGAAAACGTCCGTCACAGTGAAAATGAAACACAGCAGCCATGACACGAGGATGGCCATTATGATCTGGGTCAAAGAAACAACGCTTATTAGATATTCATATTGCAGATAAAGTTAAATAAATAAAAACAATTTATTCATTTGAGTCCTGCACCAAAATATGAATTGATAGATATATATATATATATATATATATCTATCAATTCATATTTTTGAGGAACACACTAATAAAATCACTTTTCGCTTCCTGTAAAAACAGCTGCTGGATAAAAAAAGTGCGACACCTATTGGTAAAATATGGTATTCCAATCTAGAACAGTGTTTGGTTTAATGTCAAACTATATAAGAATAATATAACGTTTAAAAATACTGAAAATAAAGATGCTCTATCTTTAACTTTACCATGACTTAAAACTTTAATAATTTAATTGATTTAACAAATTATAACTGCGAGAAAAAATGTATTTAAGTTGTTTGCAGATTTACAGCTTTTCCAAAGTAAAAAAACGAAGCACTTTTTAAGCTTTTCCAGCACATTTCAACTATGGTAAATTAAATGTGTATGTTTGTGTATAGATGTAATAGATAACTGAATTTAAGAGAGTTTATATTTAAATGTGTCACCAGGTGGCAGGAGAGGACTGGTGGTTCATATACTGCACATACGCATGCAGACAGAAATACTTGTACCTGCTCCCAGGGAGAATTAAATTAGCAATATTCTTGACTAAGAGGGGAACTCAGTTATTAGTGAGGGCAAGGGGGGAAGATGCTAATAAATAAATCAATTAATCAAACGCGAACATTTACCAGTCAAGAGGCATTAGGCAACAAGCTAAAGTATGTATGTAACTCAGGCCCGCCCCTCCCTACACGCAGATCACGCAGAATGCTTGGGGCCTCACCTCGTGGCGGGGGCCTCACATCGCGAAGGGGGCCTCACCTGAAGCGCAAATGTGGCGCACCTTTATGCGCGCCACAGTTCAGAGGCTCCGGCGCTCCGGCGCGTGCTCCACTCCCGTCGACGCTCACGACAGAGGGCCTCATCACATAACATTGCGTGGGGCCACAAGTTGGCCAGGGGCAGCCCTGATGTAACTGTAGGAGGGGCTATGTACTTACAGGGAACATTTTGAAGACCTGCAGCCTGTAGAAAGTCCAGCCTTTCTTGTGCTTGTAGACTGGCAGAGGGAAGTGAACGTTTCTGGCATATTGAGAGAAGAGCAGCACCAAGAAGATAGTCCTGCAGACAGAAACATTAACTTGTTATTTTCTCTACACAATATTCTCCTGTGAGGAAGCTTATCCTGTGCTAACATGTTCCAGACATCTACGTCCAACACGGACCCCAGAGGCTTCAAAGCCAATCAATTATCCTAACTGCCAGTGAAAAAGCAAATCAGTGGCAATTACAGGCACATATCCCCTCTCCCTGTGGAGACAAACGAGGAGGCCCCCGGCTACAGTGCTAAACAGCAGGAACTGATGTCACAGCACATGAATATCACAGCTTTGAAGTGGATCTTCCCCCATGAATCAATCCTGTTTCTTTACATCATACAGTATGTTCTATCCTTAAAGGAAAAACAAACGCTTTCTTTACGTCTCCTGATCAGCTCTATTTTTAACTGTACATATTCTTTGTAAAGGAAGAGCACTCGAAAGTTTATTTGACTGTAAATCAGTCAATGAGCTACAGGCTACCATGCAGATATAATACTCATATTTGTACAAATGCTTAAAATAACACTCAAAATATGTAGTATAAAGTATTTTGATGTAAAAAGCTGTCAGTTGAGTTCTGAAATTTGGAAAATGGATGTAGGAGTGCCGAGTTTCAGCGGTTTCCAATGGTGACAAAATGTATTTATAGACACTTAGCATTCCTACAGCATTGTCTACTATAGCAGATCATCGGTATATTTAGTATGTTCCTGAATATTTCCACTAACTACCATCTGTATCATCAGTATGTACTGAACACATAAAGGGATCACTAATATTCCCAGATGAGGGTCACTATTAGGACGTTTTTTAACACCTGAATGTGCATTTCTTTGTGTAAAGTCTGAACCTACAGCATAGCGATGCCCCAGTGTTTTCCGGCCCTCTCCCCCGCAGCCTGGAACCCAGACAGGCCGATGAGCGTCACGGTCGGGGTGATGGTCAGAGGTCCGATGAATCTCAGCAGGAGCCCAGGCAGACCCAGCGCTCCGATACCCACCTCGACCAAAGATGACACGATGATAGCCCCTTGGATCTGGCAGAACATTGAAATTATAGAGACAGATGTATACATAATTATGAACAAAATGTATTAATGAAAACAAAAAGCAGGGAAGAAATCAGAATGAACATGTTGGATTTGTTATTAAAGTGCAACCCAAAAAGAGCAATCCTTAAAGAAATCCTGGGAAATCACATTAAAGGAGCCATTGTTTTCTTGGTTGGAGGAGATGAGGTTACAGAATCAAAATCCTGTTAGTCCTGTCTTAATCCTTCTTTGTGTTCACGCCGCTCACTTTGTTATCACATCCTGCCCTCAGACCATTGATGTCTCATTCAACAATTGTATTTGGCCGGATTGAGTTAAGTCTCATTCATGCGTCACATAAAAATCAATTGCTCAAATGGCTTACGCTAACAGAAAAAGGTTAATACAAATGAACAGCTTCGTTCACGGAAACTACACCCTGAAGCCATACAGAATGGGAACTTGATATTTAGAATAGACCGCTTTATCATCCGCTTACGTAGAGATTTGACTTCACAGACACACAAACATTTAAACTCTGCCATATGAGATACATAACAATATATAAGTTATAAGAGAAAAAAATTAAAATATCCTTGTTTAAAACATTGTTGTCTATTTTGATGATAACTAAATAATTGGTCATTGTTCATGCTTAAGTAGCAGAAAGTACTGTTTTCAACCTTTAAAATACAGAGATGACCTGCTTTTCTCTGTTTTATATCATATTAAACCAAATGTATTTTATTTTTAATGGACAAAATCTCAAGACTTGGAGAAACTGGGATGTTTTTTTACACTAATTTATAGACCAAACCATTATTTGTAAAAAAAACAAGTAGTAGATTATTATTAATGAGTAAAGATTTATATCTGCGTATGTATCACTAGCAAATGACGAAGTGAACCAAGCGCTGACTACAACAGAACACATCTTCTCAGGCTCCTATTATAGTTACTGTTGATGTTGATGTAACCTGCATATTGTCTCTTATCTTTCCACTGTGCATACACACAGTACGCACAGTCCATCCTGAACTGTACATCCTGAACTGTTCATCCTGAACTGTACAGTGCCCTCTCCTAGTTTACCCATAGTTGTGTACAAATGTCCATAAGGAGTTATTAAGCTGACTGACATCTTTCTCTCATATTTTCTTGACTTCAGTTTCCTTTACTCATGAACAACAACATATTTTAAATTCTTTAATTTGTCTTTGGCTCACCTCTCGTATCCTGGGGTGCCAGATGTGCTCTGTGTTCAGAAGCTCTGTGCTGTTGAATAGTGGAACCTCTGATGATGGAAAAGACAGGGAGATGAATAATTAGAAAAGGGCTCACTATATACGTATGTATTCCCTACAGTCCCTGCAAGCTTTGATGCTGACAACATTTGGAATCAATGTAAACAAAGATCAAATAACATGTATAATATGTTTTTATCATGTCTACCCTCACAAAGCAGACCGAGGTAGACATGAAATACAATCGATCCGTCTTCCATCGGCTCCTATCATCATTTTTCTCAAAATTCAATCAACAGACCCAGTATACCAAAAGGGACAACATACTTTAAAAAAAAAAATAGGAAATACATGCAGACAATTCTTCTAACCATTTGGTCTATTTACATTTTTAAATGATAGCTCGATAATCCGTTTTGCCAGTAACAAACAGATCTAAAAAGGAAGAATTTCAATCCGTTTGATGTTATTTGTATTGATAAAACTCTTTAGTTACCTCCTGTGTTATTACACTTCCATTTGTCCAGTGACAGGATTGCTCTGGCTGGTGCAAGGAAGGCAAAAGCACTGGCCTGAAACAAAGGCAACCTAAACAAAGGAAAGCACTGTTAAAAAAAAACATGTATATTCACTTAAACTTATAACAAAGGAGTGTTTAAATCAAGTGTAGAAAGCAGGGTCACTGGGCGACATCATTTCAGTTGAGTCATCATTGTGGGATACACAGTTGATGAACTTATGTGAAGTAAGAATAACCCTGACCTTTTGTCCAGATCATGCAAGATCACATGATGCGGTAGGAAGAATAATTATTGATATCACAAATGTTCTCCTTCCCCTTTTATCTTCCTCTTTTCACTCAAACCATCCCACATGATACATTTGCTGTAACCGTCTTAAAGATCCAGAAACTAGTCGGCAACATTCTACAGTAAGGCTGACCTCTAATGAACTGTAATAAGCGGTGGTGGCAGTATAGGGATATCAAAAAAGATCAAACGATAGAGAATAATAAAAAAACTCCTATGAGGTCATACAAGTTCAAATGCAATGAACATCTATAAAGGCTGTGAATAAGTTGAAAAAAAGGGATCAAGGACATTTATGTTCTTAAGAAAGAGGAAGTGAAGATATAGTATTTAGTACACCTGCTTATTTGAAGTTTAACCTGCCCGCAGACTACAAACTGATTTCCAAATGTTATGTATTTTCAAATAAAACATGACAAAAATCACATTGGGATGGACCCATTGTTGTGTGCGTGTAATTATAACCCTTTTGTAAAGCTGCTTGTTTCCAATGAGTCTGACTCGTGTCAGAAAGCAAGGAAAAGACCAAGAGAAAGACCGCCAGAGATCATACGATGTCCTGTTTGTTGCCATGACAACATGCTGCACATCGACTTCACACACACAAAAATGACTGTTCCACTATTATCTGCAGACATGTTGCTACTGGGTTTGCGTAATGGGTTAGTTATCAACTGGTAATGCTAACAAAGGTAACCGTCTTCTTGACTTGTTGTACTGGCACTTGATGCAACGAAGATATGGCGTGAGTCCCAGCTCCGATATCTGACTGTGAAGGATCCTGCATTGTTGGATTTTGAGCCATACTGTGTCAGAGACTGAAAGGCATTATATTTGTACCTTTTTGCAACAATTTTGACTATTAATTTGAAACATGAAAGGACGGCATGGCACCATTGCAGCGGTTTGCAATGCGGTTTTAATTTTATTTTACAGAAAATCTAAAACAGAGGATCCTAAAAAGGAAAACAAATGAAGAAAAAATAAGACAATGCTTGCAGACCATTTATCATTTATGGAGGCACCAGTCAAGGACATGGAGTTGGTGTCAAAAAGAACAGCGAGTATCTGTCGGTTTGGGTTTGTGTAGGTTGAAAATGACTCAAAAAACATCAAAGGTAGGAAAAGTACTGAGAGGGAAACATGACAGAAGAAGGGAGGAGGAACAACATGTGAGGGGTGAATATTATGGGAAATATTTTCAGGCAGGTGCTTATTCAACCGATTGTAATTAATCTTGGAAGAACTGAGTCAAATGAAGAGTTCCTGGTATGGCTTCAAGCAGGCTACTCCCTTCTTGGTTAATATGGTGCAACAAAAGACATGTGACTGTGTGTTTAATTGATTATAGCTTGTCCAGTCATGCAATCATTGAACTTGTATGTCCCCCCTCTGGTCTGCCGTCAAATTCATTTCTAAATCTCTGTTGTCTCAATTATGAAACAAAAAGCTACTTCTTGGGAGGTTTACTTTCTACAACTGCAGTAATATGAACAAAACAAGGAACTACAATTGTCATTTAATGCATACAAAATAACTGTCACTGCTTTATTTATATGCGAGATATTTACAATACAAATATGTATTAAATCTGACTAATAAAAGGACGTGTATGCATATACTAAAATATGTGCACACACAAACACACTTAAGCCCACTCCAAAGTGACATGTAGAGGGAGGATGGAGAGAGAGGTACTTCATGTCGACAATGACCCTTATCTTTAAGTGGTTAGAGATGAGAGGGAGAAGAAAGGGGAGAGAATAGAAAGGGTGGAGGTGAGGAAGTGAAAGACAGAATAAAATGTACGAATTGTAGAAAACCTGTTCATACAAACTGTATGCCTGGGGGTGTGTTTGTTATTTAGGACAGCCTTTCCCTAAGTATTTAGAGACAGTGATGTGAGTATACCTGCAGCCCAGTGTAGTCTGAAGCAGGGTGGTGATCCCCACGCAGAAGAAGATGGTCCCAATGAGCTGGCTGATGACCCACTGATCGAAGCCCACGCACATCGCATCAGCCAGGAGAAACGGCACGGCGATGGTTCCACTGAAACATGTCAGGTAGTGCTGCAAGACAAGAAGCCACAGTCAGCGGGGGGGTGTGACAGTCAGTACTTACGGACACTGATTGTATCCTCAGCACAAAACACCATAGTTATAGAGCATGTTCCAAAAATACATCAATCATCAGTATCAACCTTTTTTCTTTAAGATCCTTATCTTATAGGTAAATGTATAAAACTCCTACCCGTTTTTAAATAGCCTTGTGATTCCCTTTTAGTTATATTAATGCCACACATATTGTGCCAGGAGAATAACAAGTGATTTGTTTTTTGAACAGTGTCGCTGTGTTTAAACCACTTCACATGTTGCCTTATTACTTTAATAGAACCAATGGTGACCCTCTGGCTTGATTTGAATCTTTTAGGGGGTTTGTCCTGAAAAGGTCCATCCATTTTGCAAAAAAAAAATTATTTTAACTATATTTTACTTTACTGCTAAAAGTTTTGTTTTGTTTACACACAATTATCCTGCTGGTGGCAGGATAATGCTGCTGGTGGCAGGATAATTGTGTGATCATGAGAAATATGAAGGAGTTTCACCTTTACCCACCCTGACTGCCTTGTGTAGGTGAAACCCCTGAATCTAAAGAAATCTTGCTCAACTAAGAAAAATCTGAACAAAGAAGCAGGCAGATTCACATGTATGCTTCTCTCCTTAACAATTTTGCATTTATTGTTTGTTATCGGCTGTATAAGTTACATATTCCATAGTTGAAAAAACACTGAATCATTAGTATATTTGGGCAATGTGTTTAAATTAAGATATATCTACATTTGTATCTACATTTATATCTAATTAATATAGTTGTGAAAAATGAAGGTGAGTAACAGTGTTAAATTAACTGGTATATACCCATCACCCTTTGCTAATCTGTCTCAACAGACAGGCCAATACGTTCTTTGGCATTTTGAGCCAGAACATTCAGAGCAGTATCAAGCCAAAAATATTTTACAATATGAGTGGATTTGTGTCCATATGTACACTTCTAATGTATGTGATAACCGTCTTCAGGTAAAGCAGTATCAAGTGTTTTGTACGACTGTCTAATTTGGAGGATGGCTTAGCCTTGGTGAAGCTTTCCCTTAGACATTGTGATCACACAGTGAGAACATTACCACACTGAACCTCCAGCATGACGATTACTGTGTTCATATGACTATTTTTGTGTCTGACGTCCGGTTGTGTAATAAGTATTGTTGACAGTCAGATGAAAAATACAGCATTGAGGTGACAAGTACGACCACAGTGAAAGATTTGACAAAGCCTGATTTACTGTACAGGAGTGAGTGCATGTTTTCGCTCTCATATCGTGAGACATCTTCGCCTATACAGTAAATGACTCACACATTGCAAATGAGCCATGACACAAAAACGTTAAACCGCTAGATCTACCTGTAAGCCCAAGAAAACACACAGGTACCAGGGTGGGGTGTCTTCAATGGTATAGATCATATCCATCCTCTGTGCGTCAACACTGTCTGTGCTGTCCAACGTCTCAGACATTGAGCTCTACACACGCACACACACAAAAGAAATAAGATTGATGTCATGTCAATTCAAAACGTTTTTAACATGTTTAATTTGTCCCGTAACACTTCACACTGTTCATGTCAAGTGTTTATGAGAAAATGAATGTAAAACTAAACAAGAAAGTGACAGAAAAAAGAAGGAAAATGCAACGCATGAATTAATTAAAAAAGAAAAATGCACAGTCACAGGGAAAAATAGGGAACGTCACACGGAGACTGTTTGAGAATCTGTGCCTGTGTTTCCCTGTTTTAAATACTAAGAATGAGGTAAATAGTGAAATATACCATCCGAGATATTACATATTATTATACAAACTAACCACTTTCAATAATTAGTCAAAAAACATGAATAAAGGAGGAGAAGCCACAGTGAGCTGTTGTGCTCTGCTGTTGGGTGGGATGCTACTCTGACTCCCTTAATAACAGTGTGCGTTTGTTTAGTTGCAATGTAAACGGACACGCCAGCTGATTTTCTGTTGCATTTTCAAAAGAAAAGCTGCTCAAGTTTGTGTGGGCTGAAAAACACACTTGATGTTACTACAGTAACCACAAGTTATAAACTCACTAGGACTGAAATCTGAGGGATTACATCTTAAAAATGTTGGGGAAAGATCAGGAAGGAAATGGAAAGCCATTGAAAGTGCGATTGCAAGTAAGCTTTTGGAACCATGTGACTATCTGTAGAGGGTTATTTTGGGGTAAAACAGCACTTTGGATGAATAAAAACATGTGAGGATCGTGTGTTTCACTTCTTCATTTTTTAACTCCAGTTACCTTCTCTGCTCCTTGATTTTCTTTAGTGTAGATGGCCATCAGCTCTGTGTTCTCAGTATCCTGGTCTCCACTGGCCCCACCCACGCCGTTAACCACCACCTTAACACACAAACAGACATGCATAATTACAATGTATTAAGAAAGACTGCAAATACTGGCAGTATAGACAAAATGCTGCAAGACCTGCAGAACCACAACAAAAGATGAAAGATAAAGAGTGTCAGGGTCCATCTGTGTGCTAAGCTGTCAACTCTAAAGTCTAATGAACAAACAAACAAGTCAGAGTTGGAGTTTAAATCCTTGTATGTCAAAAACATCATCACATGATTATTTGATCATATCAGACATTTGTGTGAATGTGTCATTATTAGCTAAGAATTACTCAAAGCGTTCCGGAGAATGGGAAACGATGAATGACACTCGAAAAACCTCATGGCTTAAAAAGCTGCACATGAACATTGGTTTCCTACAGTATGCAAATTCCTCGCTTTACAAACAAATATGTTCTGCCCACTGTGTGTGCAAGTCTGTGTGATTAACAAGTGTGTGCTTTTCCTGTATTTCCGGAGAGCATCTTTGTCACAGCACACATGATTTAAACTTACATTTAAAGATTATATGGGTTTGAATATCTTCATGCCTGAGAGACAAGATGCGAAGAATGCAGGTATGCAAAGTAGGGCTGTCCCGAATACCATTTTTGGGGCTCCGGATATTCGGTAGTAATCAGCAGCGAATATTCGCCGCGGGGGAGGGGGGGCGGGTTGTAATCAGCAGCGAATAGTCGGTGCGCGCGCTTCAATGCATGTATTTCGGTTTATTCAAGGCATTCATTTAGTTGTTCTCCAGTGTTGTTGTTTTATAGTTATTTGTTAATGTAAATAACCCAATTTGTGTTCTTTGAAATTGAATGGGATATTGCATTGTGTTTGTTACTTTCGTTGCAGTTGTATATATGCCTAAAAAACACTGGTTTTTAGGCATTGTTAATAGGAAACAAATATTTAAGCTTTAAGGAATTAAAAAATGAATATTAGCCAATTCACTTAATGTATCAATATTAATAGTCTTTCTGCAGAAATTTGCCTTTTCATTAAAGACCAGAAAAAAGAAAAAATATATACTTTGGTATTTCCATTCACTGGATTTATTTTATTGGTTGTGTTTTATCATTTTCACAAAACAAAGGTAACAACACCCATCTTAAAAACGTGTTTAATTAGAGCTTGCCTTGCCCCGTCTTTTAACACCTGTTCAAAACTTTGGATTCCCACGCTGGATTGTGCCAACTTTCAAAAACATTTATTTATCCGAAACTCTTGAGTCACCCTGAACTAATATAATAACTTGATCTCCATGTTCACTAAAGAAAGTAAATGTATCCGGCAGTTGCGATTGGTTGTTCCTCGTCACGACATGCGGTGTGTTCTGCTGCATTAACTCAGCGCGACAAATTGGCCCTTCTCTACATCTTCATTGGAAACAATGGATTTAAGCACAAAAACGCCGCATGTGTACAGCCACTAGACCTGTTCATGGTTTTGTCTTAGTGTTTTATAATATTATAAACATCCAAATAACACGCTTGATTACCGGAATAGGGTAGGAATCTACGCCATGCTTGCTCTCCTCTTCAAGTTTTCCTCCCTCACTACTGCTGTCCATGGACTTAGAAGTGGTGTTCTGTCCCACACCCATCCTTGTGTCTGGGATGTCCTTCTCCTCCTCTGTCCCTCTTTTGTCTCGCTCCGGTGTGAATGCAGTAGATGAATCCTTCAGTCCGATTACATCGCCGAGGACTGCCTCATCTGCTTGGAAATGGAAAGACATACAAACAGAGAGATTAATATCTCGATTTATTTCTTTATGGGCTCTAATATCCTAATCCTGAGAGGCTGCCAGGCCGCACTTCTTGCTGATTAGAAACTTATGTCAGCTCTCTTGTTGTTTTTGTCCCGTCTATTTTGGATGACAAAAGTATGTTAACGGCAACAATTTACCATATGTGAAGGAAAGAGAGAACTCAATATGCAGCATCAAATAGTGAAGCATGAACACGTTTGATGGAAAGGAGGAACAGAGTGATTATAGTTGAAGATGATTGAAAGGCAAGAGAGATGATGTCAGTTTGTCTTGGTGGTGGTAGAGAGGTATTTTCTACTTCCTGTCGGTTTGGTGGTTGCTTGTCGGTGGGTAGATTATTTTAAAAAAAAAACAGTTTAAGCTCTCATAACTTGACTACTGTGGTTAATTAATCAATGTAGAACTTAAACATGTTATCAAATAGTTTGATAATTGATTAATCATGAACGTTTTCAAGCAAAATTGCCAAGAAGTGACCAGTTCTAGCTTCTCAATTGTGAAGATTAATGGATTTGCTTTATCTAATGTCATACAAATATTAATAATGGTCTTAGTTTCTTGTATTAACTGACATTTTACAGACTTTTAATTGCAGAATGATCAAATAATGAATCTGCAGAATAATTACTCCTAAAAGTAATTGTTAGTTGCAGCTCTACAACAATCCTTAAATAGTAAAAAGATGATTGATAAATAATTTGTTCCCTTTCAAATAAAAGTGTCAAGGTTTATGTTTTAATCAATGTCACCAACAGGTTTGAGAACGGAGGAGAAAGCAAATTCACAGAGAGGTGAAATAATGCAAGGAGTTGGAAAAGAGTGAACCATGGACAGATGTTTGGTGGAGAGGAGTACGTTTGTCCTAGAAGGGATGGAGCACTATAGTCTAATTCCTCATGGTGTGTGTGTTGTGTAAAACAAACCGTAAGTTAAGTAGCATTATCCGACACCTGACCTTTGGCTGACACTGGCAATCTCTTTGTAACAGTCAGTGCCTCTTGCTCAATCAATCACTAACTGTCAGTTACCAAACGTATTAGAACCAGAAGTATGAGAAAGTTGGAATAAATATTTTGCCACACACTGGATTAAGTGAGCATTGCTGATATAAAGTGATGCACACAAAGACACAAGAACATCAGGGTTCTATTGAGAAGAGGTGTTGAAACCGAAAAAAAGGTTCTAAAGGATCACTGAGGCCTTCAGATGTTGACCTTGGCCTTTACGTAAATATTCTTTGACAGGCGACCTATGGATCCGGTTTCCTTCATCCCCCCTCGGCACCAAAGCAAAGCGAGTTTATTACATGAAAGGTAATATCATATCTATTATACTAAGAAATTAAGCAAACTTTTCAAAAACACAAACTAAGTAACCATGTGCTTGTTTGTTAGATCATAATTTTCTCATTTACCATTATACGTCTGCTTAGATGGTAGGAGAGGAGTATGACATCCATTGCTTTTCATACTCTGATCATTTGTGCTTAACATACTTTTAAAGGTTTTTGCAGAGTGCTTGTGTCTACAACCAAATACATCTTTTAGGTATATTGGCCAAAGTAAGACCCAAATTACCAAATTTAATGTAAATTAAAAAAAGAATTCTTACCATTTGATAAAAAAATTAAAATTAAAAAGCAAGAGTAACTGTTACTTTTAGTTTAACTTCATTATTTACTATCCGACAAGATGAAAACATTTAGTCCGAGACCGTTGACTCCGTTAATTAATTATTGATCGTTCATGGTAAAAGAAAAGGCCCATAAAGACTTGGAGATTAATTGACACAAAATAATGTAACTATAAAAGGCAATGATACCTAGCCTTATATTTATTTTTTCCAAAAGTAATTTAATTTGTTTTAATTGTAAAATGTTGGGATAGGTGTAATACCTAGCTGACACATCCCATCACTCCTGTCAAGCTGGGCGGCTGGGAGCATCTGTGTGGAAGGGGCAAGAGATAGGGGGAAGGAGGAGGTAGAAGAAAGAGAAGAAGAAAGGAAAGAGAAGAAGAGAAGGAGAGAAGGGGGAGGAGGCAAAGGAAGGAGGAGGAGGAGGCGAGACATAAGTTAATTTGACAGACAGCATTTAATCACAAGCAAAAGTTAATGTGTATCGTATGACTGATGTGTTAATTAAAACTCAGATTCTCAGGTGAAATATGGCTTTAGGAAGACAGTAAGAGTCCAATTAGGTCTTCCACATACAGTATAAAGGTCACCTGTACTTTTAGAAAGGACAGAAAGAAAACCATGAAGCCAGGCAAGCCTAGGCAAACTGCCAAGTCATGATGGACTCGCTAATATAGGTCTTTAATTTAACTTCACACTTAAAAAGACATGCCATTTAAGAGGTTCCGTTTAATTTAAAGAAGAACTGTTGATCAAATACTTACTTAGAGGTATGTATATTCCTGTATTTTCATATTATAAACGGACAAAAAGGAATGGGCAAAGGGGCTCATTCATAAAAGATCATTTTGCTTTTTAAGAATGTGACTTTTGTTTCTTATGAATTTGGCACACTTGTACTTAAAGAAAATAATTAAATTAAGACATACCCTAGGCAAGAAAAATGAGTCGCATGATCTTTTAAGATTTTAAACCGTGATGAAAAAGATCTGAGGGTGACCATCCAATTCACTATTCATTTTTTAAAACATTTTAAAGATTTTAAAGTCCTGTCTCCAGTATCAACATGATAACATTTACAGGTATACTGCAAACTGCACAGCAGAAAGGCAGAACTGAGTACACATTTATATTTTATCACAATAACTATAATTCTCGCTATATTCAACCTTTTGTCCACATATAGTGCAGCCCTAGCATAATGTTGTATTTGATAGAAATGATGGCCCAATCTTAAACAAAGGAGAACAATCCTTGGTCAATGTCATGATTAGAAAATCAACCCAAAGTTAGCCTATCAGATCATTTCTGCATACTGCATTGAACTCACACACTGAGTGCTGCCTCGCCTCAGGATCTCCGTCAGTACTGAGTCAGTTGTGAGATGTGGAGTGTGACAAAGTATCCCAGCAACCTCTGTGTGATAAAAACTCAGATGAGGCATATGCCAACACCAGAGAGACATGCTACTTTAGCATGACCGTTCCCTTTATACATCCATGAGCATGACATTGTCTCAAAAGCCCTTTTCCGCTAGTTGTCCAAGAGACTAAATGCACACATTCACACGAGGGAGAAAACAAGAAACACAGGGAACTGTTGTGAGAGAAGAGAGAACTGAAAGCGAGCCAATTTAAGAGGGGAATTCTGCAGTTTCATAAACAATAAATAACTTTTCACAATATGTTAAAGGGGACCTATCATGCAAAATGCACTTTTGTACGTCTTTTATACATGAATGTGTCCCCGGTGTTCCAGGGAACTCACCAAGTGTCAGAAAACACAACCCTCTCTATTTTCCTCCATACCCAAATCTCTAAAAAAGGGGCTGCAACGGATCTGATAAAAACTGATCCAGATTTGAACACTTTACTGACGTCAGTGAAGTGGCGCTACGGCAGGGCTCTCCAACACGTCGATCGCGAGCTACCGGTAGCTCGCGGGCAGCTTTTCAGTAGCTCGCCGCTCGATTATTGATTATAGCGTAGTAAGGTTGCTTATTGATTTTTCGGCCGCGGCTGGACAATAACGTTTTTTTATTTTAGAATTTTTTCTGTCACACGAATATCAAATGGTCGGTGACGCAGAGATCAAGGAACAGACGTGACAGCAGCACAGCGACATCACACACGGAGCAGTCTGCTTTCTCCACCAACACCAGTCCAGAACTAACAGCAGAATGACCCGCTCTGAATCAGGCCCTGTCGCTGCGCCTCAGAGACACACAGGGAGGGATTTGTGTTTTTTGAAAAACACTCGTTATCGTCATGTCAGGTTTTTGGTGGATTTAATCAAGTCTTGGATTGCAGAGTATGAATGTCCTCTTGCTATTTTCAGTTGATAAATACTTGTGTAAAGTTTGTGAAGGCAGGAGGAAAGCTTCCGCGATCACCGTCTCCTCTCCGTTCCTCCAAACCCCGCCCCCTCCCTGAAAATAATGAGTGACAGGCTGATAGTGACCCGATAGAAACTTTATTATTCACTTAATCACTGATTGAGATATGATGAAGCTAACTTAATCTCATACATTCATGGGATTTATGTAACAGTAAGACAGAGAATGTAAGTGTGCACCCACATGCACTATTTTTGTTTTTATAATGCTATTGTAAATACTCCTGCTGTTTTCAGACTCAAGTCCTGTGTGTGATGCATTCAAGACATTCAGTGTCTTTTTTTTTAACAGAAGACTGTAGCTAGAAGCTGCAGCTAGACTGCAGAAGTATTAGTTTTTTGTTTTTGAGGATGGAACCATTTTCACACACAGATATAGGGAGGCTAGACCTATACAATTAATTTATTATGGTTTATAATTTAATGTCAAGACGAAGAAGAAGAAGAAAAAGATGGCTGAACAACTGTTCAGTGTCAATCCTGTGGAGATCTCCAAAATAATGTTCAGCTTAAGTCTCAGCAAAACTCACAACATTTCTGGAGCCTTGTAGACCCCGAAAACTATAGAACATTCACCAAGCAGCACTGAAAATGTCTGCTTTATTTGGTTCTGTTCTACATACCTTTGTGAAGCAGCTTTTTCTGACATGAATGAAATCTAAATACAGAACAAGACCAACTGATGAACATTTAAATGACTCTATTCTATGACTCCAGCATACACATCTATGGTGGACTGCATGCAGTGCCATTCATCTCACTAACAAAAGAGTGAAATGCTTGTAAGGTGGTGATTAAGGACACTTATGTGAATGTTCAGTGATGTACTTATTATGTGGGCCATAATAATATGTGAGAAATCTTCGTTTTCTTGGACCTTATTTTTGATAAGCTTTAGGTATTGCAATTTCACACGTGTACAAAAGTATAGCTTAATTCAACTGATGAGGGCTATGTGAATAAATGTAAGCGATGTGATGCAAGTAGCTCTTGGCCACTTTCATTTTTTGAAAGTAGCTCTCAGATGAAGAAAGGTTGGAGACCCCTGCGCTACGGCTATTGGGCCAACTCTCCACCTATCAGGGGAATGTGAGGTTGGGCCACAGCCGGCCATTGCCGCTCGAAAGCGCTGGAGACGCTGTAGTACATATGCCAGGCCTGTAAGTGGCGCTGTAGTCTGCCACAAAAGCAGCGAAGAAGACTTCCCGCCCATAGTTACCATGGTTACCCTTCTGTTTATTTTCCGCTGTGGCTTTTTTTCTCCCTCCCCGAGGCAAGCGTTTGCTCCCGCTGCTTTAATTCAATGCAATCCCTCCCCGTCGAGGCAAGCACTGTAATTCTCTCCGGTTAGTCCACCAGCAGATGACAAACACCCACCTCTCCGCCTCTTCCAAGGAACGAGGGGACCGTGCGGCAGAGTTTCAGTTTCAGTTTGTTTCGCCGGTCAAGATGTCCGTTACAGTTTAAATCTTCCGGACAAAATTAGAAAAGTGCCGGTCAAAGGTCTTCTTTGTTATTTATTGAGCTTTAAAACAAATGAATAACGACTCTATATAATAAAACACGGAGGACGGAGATCTCTTTTTCTCCCCCTCTTCTGACAGCCCAGCAGCTGATCAGAGCACGGCTCACCTCTCCTGCAGGGGGGCGTGGTCAGCAGAATCAGACCCGTAGACAGCAAACAGCACATAGAGCGAAATGAGGCATGGCTAAAATGCATGATCTGTTTGGTATTTTGAAAACAGAAACGTATAAATATACCTTATATAGGTATGGGCCATACCTATATAAGGTATATTTATACGTTTCTGTTTTCAAAATGCAAATTCCCTGTCCCCTGCTGGAGGACAGGGAATCTGCACGTCCACAAGATTAAATGGAAATATAATACAAATATAATACAAAAAAAACGTATTTTCGGCCTTGATGTTCACATTCATAATTATTCACATTCATAATTAAGTAAAGTAAAGTACCTTTTTCACCTCGGTTACATTTTCCATGTGCCCTGAGAGGCTCAGTGAGGTAAAGGACTCTGAGTGTTTAGATAGTTCACTTTAGTCTAAGTTATCTCAGTGTGTCTCAAACGGTTTTATCACAATTTATGTAAACAAATATTTCCAAGGCACTCAAAAAATAAAAACAGGTTTTAAATCATTCCAATGTATACTATAGGACAGTAAACCAACAATATCCTTTAAAACTGGAGAGATTAAAAAATATGGATAAATAAATAAATGTTAACTGGTAAAATAAGATATAAATGAACCAGCACAAATCTTGCCTAGGGCAGCAAATTGGTCAGAACCGGCCCTGGTGTCATCCCCACAGCACCCCCCATTTGAAACATGTTCCCACGGCTATGTACAACAATACGCCCAAGCTGCCCCTCCTTAAAAATAATGACAGCTAGTATCTACCTCATTGTTTTGTTTTTAGAAAAACAAAGACTAGGTGTGTCTTGTTCTTGTTCGATCAGATGTTTAAAGATTCAACATGTTTTTACACTTTCCTGTTTAGATTCTGCCTCGTGTTTGTTCTCATTGGGCCGTATGAAACAACATGTTCTATTCCAATGCTCAATTGCTCTAGGTTGGATTTCCTACTAACGTAATAGACACTTTGGACATTTATTAATCCTAGTAGATTGTCATCACTAGGCAAGGCGAGGCAAGTTTATTTATAGAGCACCTTTCAACACAAGGCAATTCAAAGTGCTGTACACAAATATAAGACAATAAGATCGAACAACACTAACATGTGTAGTCAAATTTGTCTGAAAATGATTTAGAAATGTTGCTTCATTTGGATGGAAAATTTGCGAGGCGAAAATGTACCTCACTCTTAGTTTATGAAATCATCAACTCACTATATAAAAAAAGAAAATTGGCATCAACAGCACGAAAACAAAACCG